TAAATTATTATTTAATATATTTATATTAAATAATATAAAATTATAATTAATAATATAACACATATAACCCCCACCCCTATGTGTTATATGTAATATTTTTGTATACATCTATTATACAAAATTATATGTAATATTTTTACATTATTGTAATTAATATAAAATAAATTAAATTTTAATATATAATAATATTATTATAATAAATAATAATATAAAATAAATTTATATTATTTTATATTATATGTAATTGTATGTAATATTTTTAACATGCATTTATTAATATTTCAATTATTATTATTTAATATAATATAAATAATTAATTTATTTATTATTATTTAACATATATTTTATTAATTTGAATGTGATTTTATTTTAAAGACAATGTTTTTTTTTTTTTTTACAGTAAATCAATCCTTTTGTTCTACCAATCGTAATTGTTAATATGAAAATTTGTGTTTCATAATTCAAATATTACAATTAAATTATTGATTATTTAATATTAATTTGATAATAATCGCAACAAGCTGTTGTGTATATCGATTTCTTTTCACGATTCTCACTAATCCGTTTCTCTCTTTCTCTCTCTCTCTCTCTCTCTCTTTCTCTCTCTCTTACACTTTCTGTAATATTAATTACCGATTTGATAGGTCAAAAGGACAAAGTAACTTTTAATAGAAGACAAAGATTTAATCAATAGTATGCATTTTCTTAGTTTTCTACAATCTTGCATAAAGCAAAAATGAAGTCGATAAATCAGATTATATTATGCAATATCAGCTGAAAATTTTTTATAATTTTCTTTCTTATTATTAAAACAAATTCGATTTTTTAATTAGACAAATGGATAAACGTTAGTTAAAAGTTTTTTCTTCTACTAAAATTAAACTTTACTTTTAATTTCGACATTTTAACAAAACTGACCAATGATAATAAAAGTTAATGAATAATTCATTCAACCAAATGATTAATTAAATGACATATTATACTAAGCTTTAGATTATTCTTGACTCTTGAATTCAAAAGAAAAAGAAAAAAATATATGCGGGGGGGGGTGGGGGGGGATTGGAAAAAATTGGATTTTTTTCATCAAAGCTTCCTATTTTGTTTTGTTCTTTTTTTATAAATATAATTAATGATACATTTTATCTGAACTCTTTACTATTAGAAGAATATAACGGATAATACTATCCAGCATACATTTTGTCTTATAACACAGCCATTTAAAACGATTTACGACGTAACAAGTGGGAAAACGCCTAGCAAAAAGCCGCACGTTACAATTTTCAAATTGAATTAATTGTTAAATTAATTGTCGACAATTATAACGACCTGACATATTTTATACTTACGTTGGTAATATGAATTATCGAAAAATTCCCTTCTTCTTCTTCTTCTCGTATTTCTCTCACCCTTCCATTGAATTCGAAAAGGTCGAGAATGAACAATTTTTGAACTACTCGTGGCAACGCATAAATCCTTTTAACTTTTTTTTACGGAGTGCCATGTGTCACGCAAAAGTCTAACGAATGAGAAAAACTAATCGAAATTTAAAAAAAAAAAAAAAAAGAGAAAATATATAAAATAAAACTAAATCTCTATGATAGAAAATCGTAACGTGGTTGGTACACGAACGACGATATTTCAAGGCAAAAAAAAAGAAAACAAAAAATATTATACTTTTATAAATTTAAATAAAAAAAATTAGTATTACCATAAATAAAATAATATTTAAATTTATTAATCTTCGTTTCTAAATCGTATTATTTTATTTAAATATAAATATATTTTATATATATGACCATAGAGTTACCAAATACTCTTTTGGTATTATAAATTAAATAAATAAAAAATTAGTATTAGCATAAATATAAAATAATATTTAAATTTAATAATCTTCATTTCTAAATCGTATTATTTTATTTAAATATAAATATATTTTATATATATGACCATAGTTACCAAATACTTTTGGTATTATAAATTAAATTAAAAAAATTAGTATATTAGCATAAATATAAAATAATATTTAAATTTAATATTTAATATAAATATAAATTTATATTATATAATTTAATAAAATTAATCTTTGTTTCTAAATCGAATTATTTTTTTAAATAAAAATATATTTTTATAGATACACAAATTTATATATATATATAAAACTTAACATATATAATATAAGTATGTGTCAAAAGAAAAATAAGATAAAAATATAGAAGATAACCCTAGAATCTCCTAGAATCCTAGACACCAAATATAAAAGTATTCTATTTGATCCAATAAAAATAAAAATAGGACAAAACACAGATCTAAACTTGTAACACTCACCTCGACTAAATGTGTTGTTACTTGCGATAACCCTCTCAGCATTCTTCCTAGCAATGTAAAACCACTCGCTACTGTTGCTCAAGTATTTATACTCGATTGCCAAGTCCTTAACTAAAACCCCTTCCTGATCTGGTAATCGATGAGCAAATGGACAATAAAGCCAATGATCTTTGTATTGCAGTTTGTCGTAACAATTACCAGCTGCAAATATATCTTCGTCAAATTCAACCATGGATAATACGCTAGCGTGAAGAAGATATTCTGAGGATAACATAACATCAGGTGCATATTTCCATAATCTGGTTAACATGTTGGCACGATTGACAGCCAAATTTGCTTCCAATCGAAATCTTTCTTGAGCGTAACGATCAACAACACCTTCACCGAGATTTAAATCGGTACCTGCTGTACAATTTTCACCTAACAAGTGTTGATTTTCGATAATACGAAGAAATCTCGTTACAATGTCTACCTGGACGGATTCCTTCTCTGGATATCGTTTCGTTGGAAGAACATCTTCACCTTCATTGTCATCATCTTCATCATTATCATCCGTTTCAATAAAGTCTGTAGTAAAACTTTCGTTATCATCATAATCATTGTCTTTGTTCATCGAACTACTATTCCCAACTATTCTACGATCACTCAAAGTGTTGTCAAATTCTTCTTCGAATGACACGGATGCTTTGAATTGATTTTCATTGGTATTCACTTTCAAAGATTCTTCGTTATTCACCGAGGTATGCAAAACACGACCATAAGCTATGATCGTGTTCTCGGTAGAATCGTAAGGATCGTTCATTTTATTTTTATTTTTTTTCCGAAATTTATTCAACAGTAATCCTCCCCCAGCTTCTTCTTCTTCTTCTTCCTTTACATGAGCAGGTACGTTTGCGTGCTGACGAAATACTTTACGAATAAGATCGTTCAAATGTACAGTTGATTCTGTCAATGTTTCAGGTGTATCATCAACGTAAGACAATCGATCCTTTTTAGTTGTTTCCTGAAGAATATTTTCTTTAGCATCACGTGACTCGTATCTTCTCGAGTAATTGGAATCTTCATTCTTGTCAATTTCCGTATCACTGTAATTCGATGAAAGGTGTTGTATCCTTTTGGTCCTTATCCTCAATGAAGATTCCAAATCTTCCAATTTGATTTGTCGAACGAAATGACTACGCGATCTTCCGTGTCTTATCTGCGTTGTTTGTGGTTTTTCTATACTCGTTTCAATTTCTTTTTCAGTTTCATCTTTGTTAGATAAAAATTCTTTCGTCGTAACATCACGTTTATTACGATCGGTTGTTTTCGTTACGAACAAAACAACACTTTCTTTCTTTTCATCAGAACTTTTATCGATTTGTTCGTTGAGTAGAAGTTGATAATCTTTTTTCGACATTTCCAATTGTTCAGTTGTTGTAGTGGTAGTTGTAGTTGTATCCAATTTACAATCGATTAACAAAAATTCGCGCGTAAACGCTAACAATACTAAAGCGTAACGAAATTTACTGACACTCATCGTTAAATTTTCTTCCTTTCTGTCATCAGGAACTTTCTTTCTTTCTTTCTAAAATCCTTTTTTTTTCTTTTCTGAAGACAAATCACGTCATCACTGTTACATCACCTCTCGATTGGCACACCATTCATTTTTCAAACAACAAATTATATTTGTTTTTATCATAGATCAACTTTGAAATGTCAAATTACGAAAGTAAATCGAAGTTCAAACTTATATAAAAGTAAATCGTATATTACGATTTTCCTATACTTTTTTTTGTTGTTTTTTATTTCTTATCCTTCGTGGAACGAAATTCCAAGGTCACGAGGCACTGCACCTTCCACTTGGATGATCGCAAAAACGTACCTGTCTTTCTCAATCTCGTCAACGACAACAACGTCGATGATAACATGACTGATTTCCTTTTTCGTATCACCCTGGAAGACAGGAAAGAAAAAAAAAAACCCTTTCCTTTTGTGAGATATTATAATGAAACAAAATCAAAATATTTATGGGGGAATTAACCGAGTTTTTTAATAAATAAATAAATAAATAAAATTCATACTTTTTTTCAGGAAAATCAAATTTGTTTAGTAGTTGTGTTGTAAACTGTTGTTTTTGATAGTTGTAGTAGTGATGTTTGATCTACCAATCGCATAGTTCATTGATTTTTTATGATCTTCGTTGCTTTAAAGTTCATTTATTAATAAAATGAAGAGAGAGAGAGAGAGAGAAAGAGAGAGAGAGAGAGAGATGGATAGATCAAAAATAAATATTTAAAAATAAAAAATAATAAATTAAAGTTGAGATAATTTAGTATTTTCAAAACGAAATTCATCCATGCAAATTATTGTTATTTTTTCTATATTTTCAACGATTAATATTTTCAATAATTAAATATACTATTCTTTTATAATAATAATAATAAAAAGAAATAATAATTAAATAATCTATAATTATTAAAAAAAAATATGTAGAAGAGACAAATATACAACAAGGGTTTGTAATTTGGTTTTACATCAATATTACAAATAAAAAAAAAATAAAAATAATCAACCAAATATTATTTATAATAAAATTCATAAATTTTCTTCCAATTGCATCCTCTTATTTTACATATTAAATAAATATATTTTCTTTTCTGTTTCAACCCTAATTTTGTCAACCAAAGTTTGGTGCGATCAGTGTGAAAATTTAAAATTGTCCGCCTGATTTAAAAATTAGAAAATGTGAGGTAGAGGTAAAGGAGTAGGATATGAAAAAAAGAATTTATGGGGGTTGAAAAAAAAATTAATCGTATTGGACGACCGTTAGTTTTAGGAATGTTAGTTACGAAAATGCGTATGAGGAAATGAACCACCGTGGTCTCTCATCGTGTCACGCTCGCACGCGGCGTTCAACTGAGGGATGAAAACTGGATCTCCAACCCCTACTACATACACCCCTCCCTCATCCCATCCCCGTTGCAATAAGAAAGGGAAACGCACCCCTTCTAGAGCGCATGTCTCCTGTCTCTCTCACTACTCTTTTTCTTCTTCCTCCTCCTCCTCCTTCTCCTCCTCAAACCTCGCAAATCATACATATATATATATATATATATGTTAAAAATGATAAAAAAGTTTCAGCAAAATCGAAAGGGGTTAAAAGTGGTCGATTTGACGTGGAATGCCCCATATACAAATACACATTGTAGAAAAATGACAACACACTAATCCTACGTCCGATTTTCTTCGAAGAATACAAATCAAAATGTTGCTCATATTTTCTTAACGATTTTATTTAAAAAAAAAAAAGTCCAACAACGTGACTGAAATTATTCTACAAAATCCAATTCGAGTTAATTCCATTCGACTAGTTGTTGTACTCGTGTTACAAATACTATAATACAAGTCAATGAACTTTGTAAAGAAGAAGGATCGATTTATCATTTTTTTTTTCTTTTCTTTTTTTTATTGAAACTCGTAGCAATCGAGTAACGAAATTTTCTTAACGTTTTGCAGATGTTATGCAGCAACCATGATGCTGCTGCTTATGAAACGTATCTCAATAATTTATCATATGTTCTGATTATAACGTTAACTGCAAGAGACAAGTACAACACAGTATTGAATTATCTCATTGTCCTGGAGAGGAATATCTTCTCTCTTTAAAATGATCTATCCACTATGTGGCTTTGTGTCTCGCCCTAATTAGGGCGTATTATGTATAAGGGACAATACACGTGAGACTGTAAACAATTTTAATCGTTTTGTACCACATGAATCTCTCTTTCTGTCATTTTCAATACGTTTGAAGGAAATATATTTTACTATTTTATTATTTTTTTTTTTTTTTATTTAAAAAAATTACGTCTCTTACGATCTCACTTATTCGCGCCATATTTTTTACGCGATGTTAAATAAAAAATTCATTTAAAAAAAGAAAAGATATATATCCTTTCAAAAACTTGTTCAATGTCGTCGGAGTCTTTTATTATAATGCAAAAAAAAAAAAAAAATAAAAGATACTATTTAATAAACACGACTAGATACATAAAAGGATTAACGTCAATGAACTCTGAGCAACGTAGAAGCAACGTGCATTGTGCAAGAAATTAATTCGACAAAAGCCTTTTGTCTTATCGTTGATCTTAAAATTTCAATAAATTCATGAGAAAAAGAAAAAGAAAAAGAAAGGAAAGGTAGAAGAAAGAGATTATTTTATTTTTATTTCAATGATAAAATCTCTTCAATAAACATCAAGGTTCTCACGTACGAATCGAACATATAACTCGCGAAGCTTTTAATCGTTGTCAGGAGATAAAGATCGTTACACTAATCGTACTCCTAATCGCGGTATTCCTCGACTCGTTTGCATTCCGAGTGCTACATTACGTAAGCCCTTTGTCCTTTATGCTACACCAGTCGAATAAATGAGTAGGTGAGAAATTCGATGACCTTGTTGAACGGACGTGAAACTATTTCAAGTTGCTCGTTTAAAATGTATTTCAAAATGAGAACATGTTTATCCTTTTGAAATTATAATCATATGTGTGGGCTTCTAAATTATTTAGGCTTATCAAAGTTATAGTTCTTAAATATATGACACGAGAGCTATATTGAAACCTGCTGGAATTACTATCTAATATCTTTGTGTTTAATTATGAAATAAAGGAAACAAGAGAGGATTGGTGTCAATTATTTCAAAATCGATATATTTATTTTTCATTTATTTGACGCAAGACGAACGTTCCATTTTAAATTTACTAACCGATTTTGTCTTCTTCTTTTCTGTAATAATTTCATCTGTCTTTTTCTTCGGCGTTGCTAATTTCTTCTCGCTAATATTCTTCACGATCTAATATTAATAAAATGAAAAATAAATATTAGTATTATTATTATTATTATTATTCTTTGATGATATAAATTAAATTTGCAAAAATAAAATATGTTTACTTACGGAATGATATGCGGAAGGTTTAACGCCTACACTTTCTTCTACTTCTTCTTCTTCTTCTTCTTCACCTGAACTATACGTAGGTAAAGAAATATTTTGCAAAGGCATTACATCGTTCGGCGATCTTTTCAATATCGATTTTGGTTTTGAAAATATTTTATATATATCACCAGGCGACTTTATTTCATTTCCTGTTGATTCTGGTACAAAGAAATTATTGTCCGTATGTTTAAATTCTATTCTAATAATATCATCATCATCATCATCGATATTATTTGTAGAATCGTTTGGATTCTCATTCGACGATGTTGTACTTTGTTTAGTTTGATTTTGAATAGAAATTGTTTCTTTATTACCATCGAATATCGAAATATCTGGTTCTGCAAACGATACTCTTCTTTTCTTTTCCTTTACTTTGATTTTCTCTTCATTTATTATGTCGTTCGTAATTTTTGGTTGAGTATTCTCAATTGATTCTTTTTCATTCTTACAATTACTATCAGAAATTTCACCAATAGTTTTTAACAAAGTTTTCTCTTCTACTTCTTTTTCAGTTATCGTTACATTACTTGCAGTTATTTCTTTGTTTGTATTTACAATATTATTTATAATATTAGATTCCGTCGATTGTTCGTTCATTTTTCTACTCATTCGAATTTCTCGTAATTTTTTCAATTCTTTTTCTATTTCTTCATAATTATCTTCTTCTTCTTCGTCGAATTCATCATATCCTTCTTCATCCGATTCATTGTATTCTTCACCTTCTTCCTCATAATAATCTTCATCTTCATCCTCCAATCTGTCGAATATTAAAAGATATAAAATAGAACTTTTAATTAATATAATAAAGTAAATTAGAAAGATAGAAACCTATTCATTTCATCCGCTAATTCTTCTTGAAGTTCTAACTCGTCTAATCTTCTAAAAAGATCTTCTTCAGTTTTAATTTCAGTCTTTTCTTTTTCTTTTTTCTTTAATTCCGACAACTTTTGATGATACTCCTTTTCTCGTCGTCTGTGTTCAACTATAAACAAAATACACAAATGAATGAATACACAAATATTACTTGAGATAAAAATGAATATTAAATTTTTTTTTAAATAATCACCTCTCCAATCATCTAATTTTTTCTCATCCCAGTAAGCTGTTAAATCTTTCTTTTCATTTTTACCAAAAACATCCAACTCCGTACAAACAAATTGTCTCATTTCGTATAAATTTCTTTCCTTTTCTAAATTTGTGAGCATCTCGTCGGTAGCTGAAATTAATTAAATGAATTATTATAAATGTTATAAATAAAATACTATACATAATATAAATATCCTTACATTGAATTCTACGATTACATAGAGCAATTGCTTGAGCAGCACTATACTTGACAAAGTAACCATCTCCAATACAAGCCAAAACTTCATTAGTGTGTATCAATTTTCCTTTCATAAATGCTCGTTTACCAATAGGTACCATACAATTGATTGATAACTCTAAAGGTAATTTTTCCAACGCTTCTATAACTTTCTTATGTCTCTTCTTATAATCTGTCCATACTTTAAATTGTTCTTCATTTCTTTGAATTCCCTATTATTGTAAATTATTAAATACAATCATAAAATCAATGTATAAGTAAGGTTAGAATATTTTAACAAAATTATTTAAAATTATACCTGTTTTAGTGCTCTATTTAGAATAATTTCTTGACATGCTTTTAATGAATTAAAATTCTCATTTGAAAGATCCATTGAAACATTCGTTCCGTTCATGTTGATCAATTCAATGATAAAATAGCATACTAGTTTGGATGAATAGGTTATGTAACCAAGAATTTATTTTTTAATAAGACACGTGACTTATTGTTAATTATAAATTTGTGTAATTAACAATGACATGATTACGTTTCAATTAAATATAAAATTTATAATTTTACAGTAACACATTAAATAAACTGTGCACATTTATATTGATAAAAAACAACACTAATGTATTTCCATTCTTGATGCTTTTTTTAAGTACATCACAGATGTAAAAAAGACTTTGAATTTTTTAAATTACAAATAAATTACATTTAAATAAATAAAATAAATAATTTGATTTCACTGTTATTATTAATGAGAAAACGTCGACGAATACGAGACAATAAAAATAATAATTAAATAAAATTATATTATAGAAATATTTTAAATAGTATATAGTTCGCAGTGTCACCGTCAAGTGGCACTTGTGTCGTTGGAAATCTAGGGACATTTGAATGTTCCATCTAATATGATTTAGATATTTCTAATTTTTGTAGTTTACAATTTAACAATTATGTAAAATGAAAAGATTTAGAAAATAATTAATTTTAAAAAAGATACATCATATGATTGAATGTCGTTTAATATTTAGAAAAGTTATTTATAATAATAATTTATTTTTTAAAAAAATATCATCTGAGTAAATAAGATGTTTACAATAATTTGTTAATCAATTAGTTTACTTATGTACCGTATGCGATGACAATCGCACGCGTTAAAATACAGTAAAATATTTTCGTTTGTTGTCAATAATATGATTTTCAAAATATTATATAATGGATTATTCGTAATGGTTGTAAATAAAATCATTCAATTGCACCTATTAAATTGCATGATTGAAATTATCACATATATAAGAAATAATTTAATTAAAATAAAATAAATCTATATCATTTTTTATAATCGAAGATACATACAGGTTTTATCCACTCCAAATTCAATTTTTTGCTAGTCAAATTTATCCATTCGCAAAGTGTCTTTTTGCAAAAGGTTGAATTTGGAGTGCTACACCTGCAACATAAAAATTCGAAACTAATTAATATTATTAACAAAAATGTATGTCCATATGTATAATTGTCTTTTTCCAGGTACTGCTAGATTACCATACAAAATTTCCTTGTTTTATGCATTGCTTATAATGAAATAACAATTAAATTAAAAATTCATGACTATCACCCTAAACCCATATTAAATATTCATTTTGTTCATTTAACTTTGATTAAAAATAAAATAATTATTACAGTGATGTACGATAATATTGCAATAACATAAAATAATAATAATATTTTCAGTTATATATCTTTAAATAATATTTTTTTGTAATAGCATCTAGAGTTTCTTTTAATATTAATTTTTTTAAACTTGAGCACTGTTATATACATATACCGTTTAACAACAGAAGGTGCTTATTATTCGTACACCTATTAAAAAATCTTTGTCTTTTTTATCTGTACAAAAAATGAAATAAGAAAAATTTATGATATTTATGAGCATAATGAATGGAACCGGTGTAGTATAAAATATGAGCTCTATGTCAATGGTGGTGTCCGGTTGTAAGTAATGACGGTAAAATAGAACCAACAACTAGCACTAATATTTCTTTAAATTTAAGTCCGGAGACAGTTGGTGTCGTAGTTTCAGTTGTTGGTAGACGAGAATAATTAGCCTCTCTGGTCATTAACTCTGGTAATACATGTACAGTAGCTACGTACAGAAATGTTCCTGCACTGAACAACATTGCTAATCCTGTCGCATTGACATTACTGAGGGTTTCCTTGCCTTCCTAAAATATATACAAAACATAATTTCATTTATTTACATAAAAATATATAAAAAGAAAATTCAAAAGTAAATTTGTTTACTTTTCCAATGCCGAAATATGTCAGAAGAGCAAGGCAAGGTGCAGAAAGAGAAAATACTAATAAATGCTTTCCTATTTTCTTTTTTTCCACTCCTTCGTGAAGTAAAAAAGATACTAGGCCAAATGCAGCAGGTGCCTGTAGTAAACAAAATATTTTATTATGTATATATCTAATTTATTAGAATTTGTAGTGCTCTTACTTTATGCAACATAATTGCAAAGAATACGATGACTTCTACATCAGCTTGCGAGGTTGTTGCTGCAGCACCCAATGCAACTCCATCGGCAGCTGCATGAACAACTAGGCCTAAGGTTGCAGTAAAACTTTTCTCCTTTCCACCACCTCTTCTTGTACATTGATCGACCAAAAGCATAAATACAAAACCGAGTACTAAACTAATTCCTATCAAAAAGTGTAAGTCACCTATAACAAACATAAAACGTTTGTGTAATCTTACAAGTTTCATCGGAATATATTCTACAAAATAAATAAATAAAGTTGCATAGAAGCTTACTATCATTTTGTGGATGATCTATGCTGCCAGCAGGTGTTGTAAATAATGCTCTAATACCTTCTGGTATTATTACAGCCAATGCAGTTCCAACAAGTAACCCAGCTCCAAGTACAGATACTAATTGCAGTTTATCCTAAAAGTAAACTCATTGTAATATATGGTTTTTGTATATTTTAAAATAACAATCAATCAAAAGTTAATAGTGATTTTACAAATGATCTCAGGTATGATTATAAAAATAATTTGATTCAACGAATAATCTTACCTCCGATAAATTCATAATTAATGGTAAAAAACCGGCCAAATATGAGCCACCCAACATAACTAAAGAGAGCCATATTATCGAACTCTCTGACATTTTAGGAAATGTTTATGCAAAAAAACAATCGGTTTAATTAATATCTACACATTACAATAAATATATAAATTACATTCGTATTATTTGTAATTGTTTTTCAAATGTTAACCACTTAAATTATAACATGCTGGTTAAATGACAGTTTATGGCGCTTATTTTAATCCGTTTCCGTCTACGTAGCAACAACGTTTGAGGAAAGTAGGTAAAGTGGTTAAGTGAGTTATTTTGTGATTTATTAATTGAGAGAAATTCATATATGTGCACTATATGTTTTCTATACATACAAAGAAAATAATGTTAAAAATGGGCAGCTAAATATAACGCCCACGCGTAAATTACTAGTTACTAATATTAGGGACATTTTCAATAGAAATATGTAACATTTGACATAGCGAAACGGGATCTGTTGTAATAACCACACACCATTGTACTAGGTGCGCTCTAGTCGTTTTTTATAGGTTATGTATCTCATCCTTTTCTATTGCGCGCGAATTTTGTATCGAAATATCGAAATTCAAACGTATCAATATTTCAATCAATTATTTCGAAAGCAACGTGATCACTTTTTTTAAACAAAATCAAATTAATTATAATATTAATTAATGAAACCACAGAAATTTCGTTAAGAAAAGTTTTGCCAATTATATGATATAATAAAAATATTTAATTTATAAATGGCACGAGTCATTATTAAATAATAACAAATATGGGAAAAGGATACAATAAAAAATAATATCTTTTTTTTTAAATAGATATTAATTTATTATTATTTTATAATATATACTTAGGATCACACACATTTACAAATGCATATGCAAGTTCGTTCGATACAATACATTTATATATTTGATATCACTGTAACAAAGTACGAAAATTAGCTGGATCGCATTAATTATATTAGAAGGTGCACATGTTCCATAAACATTAGGATAATAATGCGAAAAGATTGTATTTTGATTTCGCAACGGTGATGTGCAACAAAACAAAAAAAATACTTAATACGAGAAAGTTGCAATCGTGAAAACACGCATGTGTTGCTAAGGAAATTAGGATCGACAAATGCAAGCTTGGCGAAAATTATCGTGCACGGGAGCATTAAATATATAAAAAGTACGATCACGTTATGTTTGAACCATGACGAACTAGCAAAGCGTAACGCAGTTAATCATTGAGCAGATATTAAGATTAAAAACAAAAAAGAAAACAAAAAAAAAAGGAATTAATGATCTCGGTGTCCTCTGATATTTTAGACGAAAGCGTCTAAAGGTTTCTCGGATGCGCCTTATTCGAGAGTCTTGATCGATAGTTTTATAACCCGGAATCGAAGTGAAAGTAACGTTCCATAAAGAGATTTGCAAGTAAAATTAATGATACAAGTTGTGTTAACCAGTTGCCAGGAACCAATTATTCGCGGCACTATTACGATTTATTTCGCCATTATCCGATGGCTATGATGCTGTTAATACTAATTAGAAATCGGGCGTGATTAAAAGAGAGAAGAAAAGAGAGCTTTAAAATGTGTTATTCGCTTTCGAATAAAACAAAAATCATACAAATAAAATAAAATATAAAAAAGGGTAGAATTAAAAAAAAATATATCAATAGAAAGTAATCATTGATAATTAAGCTTTTGCCGTTGTCGTTTCAGCCACTTTTTCAACTTCAATGATTTCCGTAGGTGGTGCCAAAGTTGGAATCTCTGGGTATTCTAATTTAGCTCCATCCTCGCATTCGAAAATTGGACAACAGTCTGGGAAGCTTGCGGTCTTATTAGTCTTATCGGAAAGTTTGCATTTTGGATTGGCCTTGGGTAATGGTCCACAATCTTCTACCAATTCGAAAAGACGACCAGAATTGTCATCGGCCGGTACGCAAGTTGATCTACCACAGAAAGGTGAAAGCTCCCAAGTTTTAGTTGGTTCTATGGTTGCGCATCTGGTTGAAGCAAAACACATGCCGGGGAAATCTGAAACGAATAAAGAAAAATCGTGATGTTAATCATTTCAATTGGAATATTTCTTCATTTTTTTTTTCTTCATAAATTAAACAATCGTCGGATATAAATCTTTGAGGAATAAGATAATTATATCTAATAATTTCCCATGTAATAATACTATCATATTATCGAATTGCAGGTTCGAGACGAATCGTAGGTATAATTCTATTGTCATCCATCGAGTACCTTCACCTATTGTATGCACAACTTGAGATTTGTGTTTAGTCAACGTTAAGGTACCGTGATCGGTAGATCGTAGAAACTTCAAGGAGAAACACTTTCACTGTCACACACCGGAATACCGTTTATGCAACAACAGTCTAACATCGATGACAATGATAATATCTACGACAATGGGCAACAACGACGAAACCCATCAACGCCTTAAAGTCTTCAAGTATTAGAGAACTAACTTATGAGTCACCATCGTGTCTTTATAATTATGTACATACTAAATACATTTACGAACTACGTATCTAGACTTTAACTTAAATAATCTTAAGACTTGTTCCACTTATCCGTACACTATCCATAAAACGAAGGTCTTTAAGATAAAACTATTTAACACCAACGTAAATCAGAAATGAAACGGTGATACAGATACATACATCGTAATGATACACCTTGGATGCTGAGATAAAATTCATTTATACTTATATGTAATGTGCAAGATAGTTACATATGTATATACCTATTTACAAGGTCTTGCTTTCAAATAGAATCGTATTTATTTGTACATTCATACGTAAGATTAACAAAACGTATTATAATTTTTCAACAAAAAAATCATTGAAAATATTTATTTCTTTTGTGTATATACTTTCATTTTATATTCGAAATCTCGTTGAATCTCGATGTAAATAAAGAGGGAAAGATTTCTTGTCAGTTAAATACGATCTGAACGTGTATTCTAAGATCAGGTTTTCCGTAGCAGTTTCTCTGCCAGTGTAAGAAGAAAGTGAATATCCCCTAAGAAGTTTACTCTCCCATCTCCAATTTCTCGCTTTCTTGTCGGCATATGTTACACGTACATATATATATGTATTTTTATTCAATTGCAAACTAGAAATTCAATTAACAGGATAATACTAGGACTTCGTGACTTCCTAGATTTTATCTATGTGCTTGCTTTCTTCCTGTCATAGTTTCTAAATCAAATGCAATCCTTGGATGATTTGTAAGAAAAAAAAATTTCTGGGAAGAGGATATTGGTAATTCCTTCTTCTTCTTTTTCTTTTTCTTATTTGGTCTTATTTCGAAATAACCGTTCAACGGTTCTCGTTCTCGTAGAGAGTCCCGTTACATTCGTTGCCAAGCTAAAACGTTCATTGTCCTCGAGAAAGGAAAAAAGAAGTATCTTTTGTTAGATCAGATGATCGAACGCGATGATCAAAAATATCCAAAATTCTCATCTACAACGTTCGAATCCCCTCCCCGGATATGCAACGTAATAAACAGTAATAATAATAATAAAAAGAATATGTGTCAGGAAAATATCGCAAGTTTTTTAATAAAAGGAATCGCAATAACTGCAATTAGTATGTTCAACGATCGTACAACCTTCTAAGATTCTGTAATAGATCTTATGATAGTAATAGCTTAGGCGAATCACACTTTCCTACGGACTACCGTTTGTTTACGTAATTCTTACAATTAGATGCCATACAACTTTCCAAGTTAAATTCCCATAAAGGATTATGTTAATTTGAATGATATATATATATATATAAAAAACGATCTGAAATAGGTGATTATCCCTGAACTTAAGTGAGCCATTGGTTAATCGGTAGTAACGAGGTCATTGTCGGTAATTCAAGTATTCCTGGGAATCTGGGACTAGAGCAAACGCATAACGAGTATCGAGGTCGTACCAATTAAAAGTTATGCGTTATAAGAGTCTCTTAGTTTCGCCTAAATATCGTCTTTCCTTCAAATAAGTGATAAAAACTGAAAAATAATACAAAGATTTCTTGGAAAAGAACTTTAACACCTAAGATATAATAATCGGTGATAAATGATTTGTTAGCAAACGTGAACGATGATCATTTATTACGTATACTATTTAACTATACAAAAGAAGATAAGATTAATTCGTGAGAATTCTTCGAACATTCATTTATAATAAATTATTTTGTATAAATTATAAAGAAAATGAAATGAAATTGATTTTAACGAGATCTGTTAGAGGAAGGTAGTTACACCACAGTGTACTTTCTCAAGAACTTATGTTCACTTATTGTTTCCTGTTTTTCTTTTTAGTTGGACATACGAAAGTACTATGAAGTTTATGTCTTATTTGTAACTTGTAACATACGATTTATTCTATTCTATTCTATAGACAACATGTGTGTACAATCATATAACAAACACTAACACGTTTGTATGCAGGACAACTATTGCAAACTATTGCTGATGTGGCCATTCGGAATGTTGTGGAACAGAGAGACCTTTTGCGAATCGAGAAGAAACCGAGTCTCGTCGCTTTCATTTGCACTTTCTGATTCCCTCCTTGTATATCGGACCTTTTACTCCTACGTATACGGACACGTCATTCTTCTCGGATTTTTTTTTTTTTTTTTTTACTTTCTGTCTCATACACACATGTAAGTTTAAATAGGTAAACGTTAATGAAATGACATAGATTTTATCGTAGAAAAAAGAAAACGTAGCAAGGACGTAAACTTGATGACAATGAATTGTAAATTTATAATCAATATGTTGTACCATATGACATAATTATGATAATATCAATGATTAAATGTAGAAAACTTACTGACTTGTCAAGATCTACAAGATATTTCTTCTTTCAACAAGTTTTATATTTGTTACATATATATAGATATAATTGTAACTTCCGTAATATTACTTCAGAATATAATTTTCCTTTCTTTTTTTTATGTTACTGATATTAATCTATTTTTATTTTTTTTTAATTCACGTAATCACAAGCGTAACAGGGGGTCTCTAATTAAAAACAATTTCTACTGATTGATCGATTGAAATTATCATTTTATTTATAATGAGTCATATAAGTAAATAATCTTTGATTTATGATTAAAGTAATCATTTTAGTTGATCAATGTGTCAGAGTAATAAGTAAATAAATAAGTAACAAGTAATAAGTAATATAGAGTAATAAGTAAAAAATAAGTAAATAAATAAGTAACAAGTAAATAAATTATCTGATAATTTCAAATATAACTTCACAAGTGGAATAAAAATTAAATAATTGTATTAATGCTTTAATATAATTATTTTATACTTAATTTTATACTCAAATATAATTTGGCATGTGGAATAAAAATAAAATAATTGTATCAATACTTTACAAGTATTTTATACTTTACTTTTTGCATACTATAATAATAATAAAAAAAAATTTGTATAATATATTTTAACAGCTTGAAATGATTTTGGAAAGTTCTCGAGTCATCGAGGATATACAATCGAGATATTAAATCTCGATCCTTCGAAGTTTCTCTTTCCAACACTCGGACTCGTTAAACTACTCCGAACGAATATCAGATGCATATCTGTGGTTTTAAAAGGAGACCCGAGATTGTCCTACTTAACATGTGTCTTTCTTTTTTGTTTTTTTTTTTTGTTCTTTTTTAAATCCGGTATATGCTATTTACTAAAAGAATTAATTTATTCTTTTAAAGACGGAGTTATATACATAAATGAATTTTATTTATAAAAAATATATAAAATTTTTGTCTCTTTTACCAAAAATAAGAATCATCGATTGACGCGTTCCGGTCTTTTATTTTATTTACGAGCGTATAACAAACGACCTTAATATACTTTGCCTTTCACCGAACAACATTGGGTTCTCACCTGATTGGTTCTGCTATTTTTTTTTTTCTACGAGGTGAAAAAAAATAGCCATCAATCGAACGAATTTCGTACGATCAATCTCGATGTGTAACCAAAAAAAAAAATGAATGATGATACTAATCAAAAGTATCGAATTTTTGTATAAATTAAGATGAATATCAATAAGTTTTTATATTCATACTCATTATTTATTCATGAGATACTTACGTAAATATATTTTTTATAATAGACAAAAATAAGAAAAAGAAATAAAGAAGAGTAGGAGAGAGGGATCCAATTGGTTATCATTTCAATATTTACATATGCATGTGTAGGTTTGTTAAAAATTGTTAAAAATAAATGCGAAATAATACGAACGCATATAATATTAATTGCAATAAAATAAATCGTTGTAGTTAACTCACCACGAAGAACATCGGCAGGTATGAGCCTTCTGAATGTTTTAGGTCGTTCCGGTTCTTTTTTGTCGTCTTCGGATGCAGCGAGTACGACTGCAACGGTAATGCAGAAGATTACTAGGAGCTTCATCGTTACAGATTCCAAACGAATGATCAAAGTGTAAATCCCTCGTAGAAAGAGAGAAATAGTTGTTGTTGGTGATGATGATTAAAAAAAAAGGGCCTTAGTGTTCCGATGAAGACTGGTTGGGTCCGTAGCACTTGCCGGCAATTTATAGGCACGTTCACCGGGCGAGGTACCTCCCTACTCGTAGGGTCCCCTCCAACTTCTCCATGGTCTCTCACCTCTTGAACCACCAGTCACCAAAGAATCGTCGTCGTTCACATTCGTAGCCCGTGTTGTTGCATTCGACAACGTCTGATTCGACGCACCCACTATATCCTCCTTGGGACAGTTACTATGCGTAAGCGTACACGGAATTATATAGTATAAACGACGACGGATAATGAATCTTGCACCATTCGATTTGTTTCCTTTTTTTCTTTTTCTGTTAATCGTTGAGAAGTATTAAGTCATTAAATTACACGCTCATTCTCTTCTTAAGATCATTTTTTATTAAAACGTCAATTATTCTTACAACGTCTCTTGGAAAAAAAATAAAAGAGAATATTTACAACACACGAGAACAATAAGAAAATAAATATCATCATATATCGTTAATCGACGTAATATTATATGCAATCAATGTAGGAGTATAAAGGTAAAATAATAAAAGTATACTTGGTTTTCGGGTTTGCAAGACTCGTTTATGAGAAATTAATTTGTAGAATATCTTTCAGGTATATTCGTTCTATCAAAGGTGTTATCCCTTTTTTATTATTGAGAATAATCGTGATTGTAATTTAATGGAAAGTAAGCTCTAACTCGCATTTCTTCGGTTAGTCCATCGATGGAGATAGACGGGAACGTGGAGATTGTTAAACCCTCGAGCTAGCATCGCTCTCGGCTTCGGCAGAGCTGCTTGCATCGCTGGAAGAAATCCTGCCGCTGCTGGAATTGCTGTTGGAAGCTGCGGATGCGCTGGCACTACTGCTGGAGGAAGAAGAGGAAGAGGAAGATGAGGCTGAATCCCATTCTGACGCTCTAAGTGCTTGGACATCGGCATTGGCATAGGCTGCTGCTTTGGCGGTGGCTGCTACTGAAGATGCGAGAGCCCTAGTCTGAGCTGCGGCGACTGCACCGGCTTGAGCAATGCCAGCTTGGCGGTTGTTTCGACTGGAAGCAGCGGCTTCGGCTTGAGCAACGGCACGCGCTGCTGCAGCCACGGCGGCACCTGATTCGGCTTCAGCACGGGCCTTAGCTGCAGCCGCAGCTGCTGCGGCGGCCTCCGCTTGAGCGGCAACAGCCGCGGCGGCCTTGGCCTTGGCATCGGCAATAGCTTTGAGGGCCTTGGCAGCTTTGCTTTCGGCTTCTATCGCAGCTGCTGCACTCGCGGCCGCATCTCTGTTAGAGGACTCCGATCGTTCTGTAGCACGAGCTTGAGCTTGTGCGGAATCCTGTGCCAGTATCCAAACTTTTTCCGCGGATGCTTTGGCCGCCGAGGCGTTGGCCTCAGCCCTGGACGTTGCTCTAGCCGCGCTTTGAGATGCCTCGGCTGATGCACGCGCCAACGCGGCAGCGTTCTCTTGCGAAGCAGCCGCTGCTGTTGCCGCTGCTGCTGCCTGGGCTGCCCACTGACTAGCTTTATTATTGGCATTGCTCGAAACATTGGCTTCTTCTACGGCCGCTGCTTGTGCTTGGGCAGACGTCTGACCTAATCCCAAGGTGTCCGAAAGTAACTCGGCGGATGCTGCAGCCGAACTCGCCGCACCAGTACCTACGAGGGCTCCCTCAATGGCAACACCACTCCTCTTCGATTCGCTAGACGAGCTTGCACTAGCGCTTACACTAACACTTGCGCTAGAACTGCTACTACTTTCCCCGCCTGATTCGTTTGCTCCGGAAGATGACTCCGCAGCGGATTGAGCTGAGGATTCCGCATCCGCGCCTACGTCCTCTATTGCCAACGATCTGTTGACATGGGCACCGAGTATGCAGGCTCCCAACAGGAGCGTCGACACGAGTGTTGAGAGATTCTTCATCTTCGTTGGATCTTCGTCGATTGATGCATCTACTCCATAGCTCCTCCATTTTATACCACATCGCACAACTGTCCAAACATTACACGTTCCCCGCCTTTATTCGTACTTTAATGCTTTTACATATCTGTTTGGTATGCGAATCTGCGACAGGGATGCTTCGAAATTCTGGGTGTCGCGTTTCTTACATTTTTTCGAAATATTTTGTGTAAATATTAGATTGTTATACTTTTATCATTATCATTAGGTCTCTAAATTCTTTGTCTTTAGGAAATTTGACATGAACATTATAAATCAATAATCATAAGTATATTGGTTTGGATTTATTGTGGAATGTTGAGAAATTTCATTCTATAATTTTTTGTTTTCATACAGAACTTATGCAAATCTGGAGGATTGTTGTTCTTGATCAACTCAACCGATTTTTATCTTTTGTTTGTGTTATGTTAAAGTAGTCGAACACTTAAAACATCATAGACAGTCGAATCAATAATATTGAAATATAAAACAGATATTGTTATGACAATGGTATCTATGTTGTTCATAGGATGTTGTTTGCTCAAATAACAAAACCTGTTGCGTTTATTATTTTGCAAAACATCATTTATTAAAACAACAATTTGTGTCAATTTTGTGGTATGTTTAGAGTATTCGTGACAAATTAACATATCAATTTCTGTTCAAATCTGATTGGTTACTATTATTGTTGATTTTATTGCAAAAATGCATTGAACAATCTATGAATTCCAAGATTTTCGTGTTATATTCTATACAGTTGACTATGATAGGAGTTGATATAATATTTAATAAATTGATACTTTGTTAATTGCATAAACAATCGTTGCAACGTTTGAAGAAAACAATCAAGACTTCAAGATCCCTTTTTTAAAGCAACGTGAATTAAAACCAAAGTACAGATACAACAATCCGCATTTAGGTCAATCAATAATTACTTTCAAATTGTATGAACCTTACCAAGTACGAAATTTATTTTTAGTTATAATCTCTTGGCAAATAGAATGCAATAAATATGTCAAATTCTTTTTTGATATTCGTAAAACAGTTTTATTGTATAAAATATTCTGACAAAGATAATTTCTTTAACCCAGATTTAGACTCCCAATTTTTACATATTTTAATCTTATATCAATTATATTATTTGGCCGCCGTAAAAAATTACAATAATTTAAATTGTAATTTTTTGTTATAGAAAAGAAAGACAAAACAAATTAGCTTATCTTAGAATATATTTTATTTATAATGAATATAATATTAATTAATATTATCGCATAGAAGATACATGTTGATTTGAAACGATTGTAGGAGTTCAAAGGAAAATACAACGAAATCGATTGAAAAGCATGTTATTCTTTATTATTAATTTTGGAATGACAAAAGTTCAGTTAAGTTTTTTTTCTTATTTCTGCAAGTGATCGAGCTCTGGAATACATGAATCTAAATTCGATCGTGAAATCGATTGGTCGTACTATCGTACGAGTTTCGAGAACGATCTAATTTCTTTCCTTATGCGCTGCTAGAAGAATCGGAGCTGGCATTGGCGGAGGCTGAAGCTTCCGAGGATGCATCACTCAAAGATCTTGGCGAAGATCTGGCAGTTCCGGAACTAACTCTGCTACTAGCTCGATTTAATGCTGAGACTTGAGCTTTGAGTTGAGAGGATGAACCAGCATCAGTTCCGAAACCAACGACGACTCCGTCTTTCGTAGAGATTTGAGGGGAGGCCTTGGCTGCAGCGGCAGCTTGGTCTTGGGCAGTTTCAGAGTCCGTTCGGGCGGATCTCACACTTTGGATAGAGGTGATGGACGCAGTGAGCGAAGCTTCAGCATTGGCTTGTGCTAGGGCAGCAGCCTGAGCGGAAGATGCGTCATCAGAAGCCGAGTTTGCCCTAGCCGCTTGGTTTGCAGAAGCTTCGGCAAGACTGGTTGCTCTGTTGTTGGCATTGGCAGCAGCTGCAGCATCCGCCCTCAATCTAGCTGCTTGCTTCCTTGTTGCTGCGGCATCGTCACGTGTGCGAATAGCTGCAGCAAGAGCAGCAGCGGCAGCACGACTAGCCTGTTCCGCGTCACCATTGGCACGATTCTGTACCGCCAAACTTTCTTCTGAGGCTTTGTTGGACCTTACGCTGGCTGCTAATGCTCCAGATCCGGCACTTGCTGCTTTCTGTGCTGCAGCCTCAGCTGCAGCTACTGCCGAAATTGCCGCTGATGCTCTGGCGGCCGCTTGGGCTTGGGCGTTGGCCGCTGCTCTAGCAGCAGCTGCAGCTTCTCGCGTTCTTGCAGCTGCACGTGCTGCAGCCACCGCGGCAGCCTTCGTTCGAGCTATCGCAGTAGCTCGTGTTGCTTGGGCCGACTTTGCATTGCTTGCAGCGTTCGCTGCATTATTCGACAGAGCCGATGCAATTTCTGCAGCGCTAGCTCCTAATTGAGGTGGCTTGTTCAAGATGACGTTAGGTGTTCTACCGTCAGAAGATGATCTCGCGGACGAACTCGAGGACGAGCTCGAGGATGAGCTCGAATACGAGCTAGAGGATGCTTCTGAAGACGATAGCGATAATTCAGATGAATCCAAAGATGCCGGATTCCCGGCGGCCAAGCCCCAGGTAAGGAGGCACGTTGCGAGAATCGAGGGGATCTTCATCTTACACGGAACTTTGTAGCTTTGTGACTACCATCCATCATTCACCGGTTATATACCATGACGCGCAATTGTGAAAACAATCGATACGATTTTCCCTGCTTCTCCAAATATTGCCACTCGCCTTTTCTCTACCGCTAACGATTCCCCATTGTCATAATAAACTCCGTTTATTTATCGCAAATATTCACGGATTTTGATAACAGTTGCTATACAATGCGATACACGTTTCATTCTATCTTCTTCCCTGTATATACTACTTTTATAATTCATCTATTTTCTATGAATCTTTTTAATTACGTCATAGGTATATAACTTTTGTTATTTTTCTAATCAAAAAGAAATTAAATTACTTTCTAGACTTGTTACTTCCATGTTACTTTCAAACTTTTAAATCACGTGAACATGATAAGGATTAGTATCAAAGATCAAAGTCAACCAATTTTTTTCTAAATTTTTCTAAATTCCTTTGATAATAAATTAATAAATGTAACAACGTCATTTTTAGACAGATTTGATTGGTCTCTAATATGTACCTTTTACTAAAAATATTCTAAAATTGCGAAAACATTGCAAATCTATCTAAATATGACAAAATGTTTAAAAGTAAAAAATATATTTCTTATAACAAATGATATTTCTTCGGACAGGTAACTGCAATCTTAATTCTTTCTAAAAATATAAATGTATAATACATGTAGAATAAAAACAATTTTTCTAGGTGCAATAAAAAATGATATATTTATTATACACTATTTTTTAAACAGAATCAAATAATTTTTCATTTTGTATACAGAAAATAGAATTATTGATTTAAAACAAACATAGAAATGATACTTAAAAATATAATAAAATATTTATCACTAAATTCGAAGAAGGTTTATAGGAAATGACATAAATTAATTAAATATAATTACACACAAATGCATTTCTTTTTTTATTACATACATATATTTCATTTGAAACTTTCGTAATGTTACAGTAATATTTACACCTGTTTGAACAGGGAAAGTAGCCATACGAGAAACACTCGTAGATTTCCGAGTGTAAAAAAATGATTTTGGAAGTAATATTCTTCTTATCATATAATATGATAAAAAATATTATAATAAATAATAAAAAATTGTTTAAACAAATAAGAATATATATATTCAAGTTTAAAAAGAAACATAGACATAGACTTTCATCGACTTATATCTAACATTAATCGAGTAAAAAGGGATGAATATAGGGATAACCATAAACAGATAGATGTACAAATCATTTTTGAGATGATAAAAGATTTTTATTATTATCATTACAATTTTCGAATCGTCTATTTTTGCTGTTTCTCGCCATTGCTCCTCTATTTTAGGCAAAATCTGAAGATCATATCTGGTGAATCTGCGATATTGCGTGCCATGGAAAAAAGATCAGAGTTAATTGTACAGCACACAGGTATATCGAAGGTGGGTAGTAGTAGTCGGTTGGATTAATTAATCGCTGCTGCTGCTGCTGCTGCTGCTGCTGCTACTTGCGGATGCCGAGCTCGAAGCGGAAGCGGAAGATTCGCTGGAAGCATCACCGGATGACTTGGAGAGACGAGCAACTTGAGCGTTAGCCTCTGCAACTGCAGCGGCCTGTGCAGCTGCCGCGGATGCTGCAGCTTCCGCCCTGGATTCGGCTAAAGCTGAGGCTGCGCCTTGTGCTATGTTAGCACGATCTTGTACTTGACTTGCAGAAGTAGCCTTAGCGGAGGCCGTTATTTGGGCACCAGATGCCCTCGTGATAGCTGCTCTGGCACGTGCGGAAGCGAGTACAGCGGATGCAGCAGCTCTGGTGGTAGCTGCATTGGCCCTGGCTGCAGCACGAGCTTTAGCGGCAGCTTCGGCAGCTGAATTTTGCGAAGCGGTAGCTCTCTGAAGGGCTTCCTCGGCAGCAGCGAGAAGAGCGGCTGCAGCTCTGTTGGCGATCAGCGAGTCGGCGTTAGCTCTCACTTGGTTATTTGAGGCCCAGGCAGCAGCTGCTGCCGATTCTTTTGCAGCCTCCCAGGCGGCTCTGCTTGCAGCTCTTGCACGGCTTGAAGCAGCGACGAGATCTTGCGCTGCAGTCAAAGCTTGACGAACCCTGACAATAGCTGCGTTTTCCGCCCTTACGGCTGCCTCAGCTAACGCGAGGGCTTTTGCGGTTGCTCTGTTGGCCGTAACATCGGCACTAGCTGCTGCTCGAGCTTGGTCTTCAGCATTGGCTTGAGCAGACGCAGCGGCTACATTCAAACCAGCGTCAGTTTCTATCAATTCCCTCGCTCTCGAGTCAGCTGACGAATCCACCGAGAGTACCAGACTGTCGCTGCCTCCTCTACCCCGGTTCCAAGCTCGTACTCTGCTCTCATCGCTCCCTGAACTTGCCGAATTTGCCGAACTTGCCGAACTTGCTTCGGATGAGGACAAACTCGAGGCCGAACTCGAAGACCAAGAGGATGCAGACGATTCGCTGGAGCCGGAGGACCTTTGCGGATCAGCATAGGCCGTTGGCCCATAGACCCATGCGAGAAGGCAAAGCACGAGTGTCGCTTGTATGTTCATCTTGTACGGTACTTCGCAGATTGATGCCGAATCATATAGGAATACGCGATTATATACCTACAACGATCGACAACAATTGTACAAACACTTTTGCTCCTATCTTTACTCGTTCTAACACACCAACCAACTTCTTCTTAAATATTTTCTTTCTCCCCCTGTCCTCTCCCCTGCCACCAACTCAATAGCACATTTTGTATTACTCTATTCCTCTGTTATTTCAATCACGATCGACTTCTTTTATTTGTTATCGTGCACTTGCCACTGTTAGTTAAGAAAATCAAAGCCCACTTGTCCTAAAGCTCACACTCAACATCTGTTGCATCGCCAAAAGAATTTTATTACGTGCATATTTTCTTTGTTTATCTATTTTTTCAAGCTAAATTTGCACAGTACACACTCGATAATTATTTTCTTTTTCATATTGGTACAGTCGATAATAATTATTGTAAATGTTGGGTATGTACACAACGTTTGGGCATTGATATTTTATATTGAGTAAATAACAAACTTGGTGAAACCACTTGCCAGTTAGCGTGTATAGTAAAAAAATCTTTAATAACTCATCGTGTTAATGAAACTATTAAAAATTTAAATAGTTGGTACACTTAACATTTCATGGTTTCTACTTTTCATCAAAGGAAAAAGAAACAGAAATTGCAATAATTTCTTTCTTACGAATAATTCAACAATTCTATTACGGATTGTTGTTACAAATAAATTTACATATTAAATAAATTCTTTCTCTCATATTTATACAGCTTTAAAAAATATTTTTCAATGATCGAAACAATAAACAATTCATTCTTACGTATAATCGATGAATTTTTACCGTATTGACAAAAGTAGGATTGAAAAAACATGTTTTATTTAAATCTTAAATCTTTTATTTAAGTTCAGCACGTTGTATTCATACAATATCTTAATCTCAAATTTTCTCAATACTTACTTACAGTATTTGTACAAACATTATGGCGTTTTATTTCTGTCAAGTAACTGATAATTAAATAAAATTTATGTTTCAAATGGAAAATTCTAAGAGAGGACAAAAATATGTAAAATAGTTGAAGTAAAATATATATTGATTTATTAAAAAATATATTTAATATTAAATAGTACAACTAATGAAATTGAATAATATATATGTATATATATTTTACTAATATGCAGGCATTAAAGTCTCCATCCGTATACTTTCCCTAAATGTCTCAATTATTTTTTAATTATATGTATTATTAATTTAAAAAATGTATACTTACATTAAGTAAGATTATGAGCAGTTGTAATTATTAGATTCAATTCGAAAAAAAATAATAGATAATTAATTAAAAACCATAAAATAGATATAGTAGATTCACTAAAATCTTTTCTTCTTATTTTTCTTCAGAATAATTTTCGCACGTTCATCGTGAAACGCATTTTAAGCGCAAGAGAAAAGGTGATATGTAGAAAGTGTATTAGGGATGATAAAATCATATACATGCTAGATTCAAATTTATTTTTATTACAAGTTGAGAGCAATTTAGACACGATTTCTCATTAATTAGAGATTTTTGTGCAAGAGTTTGCTTGTTAAGCTACCGTGAAATAGATATTTCATCAATATGAAGGGAGAGTCTCTGAGAGAGACCAGACATTCTGGTCGGAAGAGGACCAGGAGGACGACGAAGATTCGGCGGAGACGTCAACGGAGGAATCGGCAGAGGAACCGGCGGAGACATCAGCGGAGGCATCGGCTGATGCATCGGCTGATGCACCGGCTGCTGAACGACCCGATGAACCTGCTGCAGATCCGGCTTGTGAACTAGAAGCTGAGTTGGCTGCTACATTGGCGGATGATGAACGGGAAGAAGAACCTGTGGCTGAGCGGGAGGATGAACCGGCGACCGAGCGGGAAGATGAATCAGCGTCTGAGCGGGAAGATGAATCAGCGTCTGAGCGGGAAGATGAATCAGCGTCTGAGCGGGAAGATGAATCAGCGTCTGAGCGGGATGATGAACGAGCTTCTGAATCGGCTGATGCACGGGCTCTTGAATCGGCTGATGCAATAGATACTGAATCGGCATCCGATTCTGCGCTAGCAGATGAGCTGCTCGATGCTCTGGACGATGAAGAGCTGGCTTGTCTTGTGAGCCAAGAAGGTTGTGCACCCCTAGAACTGCTCCTAGCTGAACCTGCAGCCTCGGCCGAGGCTCGGGCGTCGGATGCTTTAGCACGATCACTGGAGGCTGCTATAGAGGTGACAGCTTTCAATCTTGCGTTGGCTTGAGCACTGGCATCATCGGCGGTTGATGCAGCGATTCTTGCGGCCGAAGCTGCGGCTGCAGCAGCTCTGGCTTCGGCTTGTGCTTTAGCTGCAAGTGATCCTGCGTTATTGGAATCTCTCTGAGCTTGAACGGCCCTACGAGCGGCAGCTTCCGCGGCGGCAGCGGCAGCACGTGCAGCAGCAGCTTTGGCACTTGCTTCGGCAGCTGCTGCGGCGAACGCGAGGGCTGCCTTTTTGGTAGCTCGGGCCTGAGCGGAGGCTGTCGCAAGAGCAGCAGCTCCAGCATTAGCCGAGTTGGAAGCTTGGGCTGCCTCCGACTTGGAACTACTTGCAGCAGACTGGGCTTGGAGAGCGGATTTTGAAAGGGCCTGTGCAGCTACCGCGGTTGCGGTTGCTTGAACGGTAGCCCGTCCTTGTGAACTAGCTGCCGCATTGATTGCCGATGCTGCAGCTGCTGCGGCCGCACGTGCCTTAGCGTTCTGAGCAGCGGAATTTCTCGCTTGCGCTAACGCTTCCGCTTGGGCAGCATTCGCAGATCTACTCGCTTGAAGTGCCGCTCTGGCACCGGCTGCTACTGATGCAGTTGAAGCTGCATTGTTCCTGGCACTGCTCACTAGGTCCAATAAACTTCTGGTCGAACTCCTTTGTCTCGATGATCTACTTTCGGATGATGCCGAAGCAGAAGCCGCCGCGGTAACCGAGCTGGAACTTTGGGCTGCTACGAAGCCACACAGGAAGAGGGTCGTGGCGAGTATCGTTAGGATGTTCATCTTCGATTGTGACTTCGAATATTGATGATCATTCCTCGCGGTTCCTCGTTATATACCGATTCGCACACAATTGTCTAAATACTGTATTGGCATCTCTACTTTCAAGCTATATCTACAACTCAATCCCCTTTGAAAATATTTTTTCAGTAATCTCCGAACACTTGCAGATTTTCCCCCACTACTTTTGAAATATCAACCTACAGACGACCCTCTTCCTTCCCCGAATCTCACGATTCTCATGTTTCTTAAATTCTATCTTCTTTAGGTATATATGTCCCTCGCATTCAATCTTTGTTTGCTTTTTATTAATGCAACTTACTCCATTCGAAATATAAACAAGACTCATTTTTATACGAAACTCTATCGATGTCACGATAATGCTTCGAGTACATACATATGTACGAAGGAATAAACACATTCGCATTAGTCTATAGGTAACAATTTTACAGGAGATTCAGATTCAAATTATGTTCTAACTTTGGAATTTCATTCGATTACTTTCCAAGTCTTTGTACATTGCAACATATTACAGAATTAACACATAGGTTTCTAACGTAAAGTATATTTTCGTAGCATCTTCAATTTTTATTTTAAATAAAATTTGATAGACAAAGTATTTATGGTTTATAAATATTTTACTTTGGTCATATGGAACAAGAATGAAAACGATAGATATACTATTTATCTTTTGACGTTGCCTTTATTAAATAATTTATTATAAATATACTTTACAAAATATAATATAACGGGATAATATATAAATATATTAATTTATTTTTATCTTATATTATCTTTTTGCTTACGATAGACATTAATATTAGGCTACGTAAAAAAATAATTCTCAATTTTATCAATATATATTCGACAAGTGTTTGATAACAATCTTATTCTACATTCGTGCATTGCACACAACTACATATATAAAATTTTATTTGAATCACAAAAACACGAAGGAACTTGTGGACTTATTAACGAGAATATAAATTAAAGAAATAAATAAATAAGTCATATTCGGTTTACTGTCATTTCAATTTATTATACGCAGAAGTTCTTTTTTCTTAACAATTGGATTTCATAATGCTCACGTAAAAGAGAACGTATATTTTAAGATTTTAAAAGAAATATTGATCAATCTTCTTCATCAATCGAGACAAGGGATTTCAAAAAGTTTCTTTGAGGGTTAAAAAATCTCGTGGAACGAATGTTGACCGCAAGAATATCCTGAAACGCTGCATTGGTTTCCGCAAGTGCGGCAAGTTGCAAGACGTTCGTGTTGCCAGCTGTCTTTGAGGCATCGTTTTGATTCAAGACTGCCGTGTCTATTTCATCTTTGGCCTTAGCTTGAGCTACAGTAGCCGCTTCGGTATCGTTCGTGGTTTGCTTGACTTGTTGTTTAAGGACGACCGCTTTTTCCAGAACTACGTTTGCTGCAGCCGCATTTGCCTCAGCAACTTTGCTAGTTATCAAAGCCTGCAAGAAACTGTTTCTTTGTGCTATAGCACCAGCTCGTGCAGCGGTCAAGGCTTGGATTTGGGAAGCCTCAGCCGCAGCAGCGGATGCAACTGCCTGCAAAGATGCTGCCTCTCCTTCGTCGAGTGCTATTTTAGCAGCTGTTGCTTTAATAGCTGCAGTAGTTTGCAAATTCAGAGCTATTTTCGTCTTCTCAGCCGCATCCACGGCAGCTTTTTCAGCAGCTAAGGATGCTTTAACGTAAGCTTTAGCTTTTGCAATAGCAATGGCATTTGCTTTGGCTGCTTTATCAGCTTGAATCTTGGCTTCTTCCTTAGCCAAAGCTAACAATCGTTTAGCTACCTCCGCTCGTATTCTATCTTCAACCTCGACCTCTATAGCTTGAGTAGCTTGAGCTTTCGCTTCGGCCCTGACTCCAGTTGTATCTTCTCCGGCTTGTGCATCAGCTTCGGTTTCTACTTTCACCGTAGACTTTGTTTCGACATTCGCTTTGTCATCGTTGACATCAACTTGGACCTTTGATTCTGCCTCTACTTTCCCTTTGGCCGCTGCTTCCAATGATACTTCGTTGTTGCTTTCTGGAACATTATCGTCCTGTAGAACAGGATTAATTTTGCCTGTTGATTCTACTTTGTTTTTCGAACCTACCGATTTGTTCAATATAGCCTTCGCTAAAGCCTCCCCTTCTGATTCTTTCTCTACCAAGTTAGACGAATTCGAGCTAATCGACTTTTGTCCATTTTCGGACGACCATGAACTCGTTTCAAGGACACCCGCGTTATCGCTAACGCTTTTTGATGAACCATTAACCAATATTGTTCCTGATGAAGATTCAACTTCTGTAGACTCAACCAACTTCTGGTTACTTATGAAACCCCAAAGAAGAAAATATGCCAAGTATATCTTCATCGTGGATGGAAACTTCGTACATTGATGATGAATTTCATTCTTACGCCAATTATATACCACATCGGACAATTGTAAAAACATTCCCGTTTCGATTCTATATATTATTGATCTCTGTTTGTTCTCCAATATGTTGTCTTTAAGACACGTCTTTACTTTATCTATCTACCTATCCCTCTCCTTCTATCATCGAATAAATCTCATTCGCTAATTTATGAAAATTCTGTACTGTTAATAGAATACAAAATTAAAATGAAATACAAAATTCTTTAGATGAAATCAAATCTTATATTCTATCTCTAGAATCTTATAAATTTCAACTGTTTTATATAATTATCATATAAAATATAATGATGATATAAGTTGGAAAAATATTCATTTTAATTTTAACGAGTACATATGTTTTTACAAAATTAGATATTTCATTATTTATTTGTTTCTTTTTTTTATATAGGGTATATTAGATGAAACGATAGTAACCAATCTTACTATTAATGTAATACAATATCAAATTAATAATTGCAACTCTTAAGGTGTCGTCGACGGCGCAAAAATTGTATCCTGTTAAAAACAATATCGAGATTTTTCCACCTTTTACATTGAAAGCGAAAATAACCGTAATCTTTCCATTCGTCTTACTTATATATGTGCACAATGTTTATCATCGTCAAAATACACATTGCACAGGAGTGGGAGTTTGAAATTTCCAAATATATATATATGCATATCAACAATAAGAATGAATTTTATTCAGAATAGTAATTAAGTCTTATCGAAGAAAAAATATGAGCCAAACGATACGTGTCACGCCATCGTGAAGAAATTTACTGAAACATTTGTAATTTCTTTTTTATTTATTATTATTATTATTTTTAATTTTGTAATTTTGTACTATTTATATATATATATATACAAATTGTTTCACACATATAATTTATTATATTAAAAAAATATATTCTCTTTCTCTTTTTCTAAGTAAACTCGTAATGCAAGTTTCTATGTTTGAATCTTTTTTTTTAGATTATATTTAAATTAATTAAGATTTTAATTTAGAAAAATATATTATAAGAATAATTTTCTATCTCACAAACAAACTGGTTTTTCTTATTTGAAATCAGATAGAAATTGAATATGAATGTAGATCTTTCCGTATAATAAGGGAAAACTGTGTATAAGTTAACTAATCAATATTGCTTTTAAGAATCAATTTAAAATTCGATCTCATTGCATTTTATCGCATAATTCAAACATTATGATAAACATATCCATGACCACAATCTCGAATATTATCTTCTAGTTAGTGAAAGGAGAGATATAAGATTACTTATGCCATCGAATAGTCTATAACACTATAGTATTTATAAATAGTTACCGTTTTACACACGCTTTCACTATTCATCGTATTTATAAATATGTATAAAGTCCATTTTTTAACAAATAAATAAATAAATTCGTCATCGTCGTTGATTAAATTTATCGATAAACTACTTGTCGTAGCGTCATTATTATAAAATATATATATAATAAAAGTAAAAGAGAATAAATAATATTACGTATGTAAATAAACGATGAAGTTACAAAAAAAAAAAAAGATTTGAATAAAAGATTAAAGATTAGGAAAAAAAAAACTAATAAAGTTTGTAAATAGAAGATAGGAAAATCTTAGCGTATGAGTAATACTGAACACCATTACTAAATCTAGTATAACAAAAGTGTATTTGTAAAGATAGAGAAACTAACGAAATAATAGTCGAAAGTTTCATCATTTTCTTATATCATTATCTACACATTTTACTTTTTCCATCTATATAACTATCTTTCTCTAACAAAATTGCATTTATTTTCAATTTAATGTGAACACATTGAATTAATAAATTTCATTTTTAACAGTAATAATAATAATAATCATCACAATTATTATTATTATTATTTAAAGACAAATGAAGTAGGATAATAATTATAAATGTTCGTAAAACGAATTATTTACAATGTTTGTAATAAATTTTATTTATTCGACGTTACTTCAATCGTTCCAAATATACTCCTTCGAATTGTATAAAAAATTTTTCTTCAAATTATTCCAAATTCTAGAAATTATGTTCTTTTCTTTTAGTTTTGTTTTATATTTAACATTTTAAATACCATTATTAAACAACGACATAACATTGTCATTAACAAAGACAACACCAGACTTTAATCTATGCAATTAAATACAATAATTAATTTTTCTAATGAAGAAGTATTCTTTGGGAATGTGAAGAGCATATACAAATAGTGATTTTTGATTTGTCAATTATTGACAATAATAAAAAATGAATAGAGTGACAATTTTCTAACTACGTATTTCGCATAGATTATTTACTTATCTTAGATTTTAGCATTCCTATTTTTATTTTTATTTTTTTTTTTTTTAATTTTATTTTCAGGTCACGCGTATGTTATTTACTGCTCTCTCATTAACTAATTTATTGAACTCACGCATCTCACATATACACATATTTATACGATGAGCGTAAGAATCGTAATGTTAGTACTGTGTCATATTAAAAAAATCTGTTATACATTATATACATTTGATGAATATGGTAGAACTTAAAATAATTGTTGCCTAATAATTTAATGTTATGTACAGTACATAAAATGTCTTAAACAAAACTATAGCAGATTATACTGAATATCTAGGATTTTGCATTTCATTTTGATAAATATGGATATGATTACAGATGGAATATACAGTATGGAATATTTCAATGAGAACATATATTTCTGATTTGTTATTTTTTTTTATCAACGTAAAGTATATTGTCGGAACGATTTATAACATAATGTTTTTGCATGGATAATTGTAGAAGAATATTCTTCGAAGTCATTTTTAAAGATCTTTTCTTTTATCTATTGATTTATTCAACAATTTAGTGTTATTCCCATTGAAATAAACCACTATGTATGCAGTGCTTTTTATTCGTGAGTTTTCATTTTGAATTTATTTAAAACAATTTTACAAATCTTCAATATCTTTTTTTTCTCAAGGTTGCTGAACTTTCAGAAATGCGTTTGTTGAATCTTTAAAAAAGTCATTGTTATGTTTCATATTCATGTTTGTCATTATTACTTGAAAAATCATTATATTTAAACATTAATTGAATGAAATTTAATATGAGAAAATTAAAAAGAAATAAATATAAAAGAATAATCATAATAAACAGTAAAGTATTAACTTTCTTAAAAGGAGCGTGTTCTAAAAACGCTTTGTTAAAGTATCTCATTTAACCTTTGTTCAATAAAATAGTACTATACTTTTTTTTATGTTTATTAAATTGTTATTAAAATCACGCATAAATTCTAGCTAAAATATTATCTTTTTTGAACCAAAAATCTAAAGCTGTGAAGTAATACAGGGATTCTTATTTGAATTCAAAATTGCAACAGGTATCTTATGCAAAGTATTATGCAAAAGCTTATGCATTGTGTGCATCAAATAATTTCTTTACTTCAATTTCCATAGTTTCTTATTTAGATGAATGCATTGACCATTGTAATGTGTAATTTGCTTATCAAAATTTGATATTATTATCATTAAGATGGGTCATTAAGACTATTGTAAAGTATTATTTATTTATCAAAATTTGATATTAATTTGAAATTAAGATGTATTATTAAAACTATTGTAAAGTATCATTTGTTTATCAAAATTTAATATTAATATCTTGAATACTATTATCGTAAATATTTGTTATCAAAATATAGATACTATTGAGAAATCCCTGTTATTAACATTCACAGTTTTCTCTTATTTTCTATGTAAACTGTTCAAAGTACATTATTTTTGATATGAAAATATTCATCATGTTTGTTAATTACCTCAACAACCTTGATGGCAAATTTTGTTAATGTAGATATTGAAGAATAAATAATTGTTTGACCTAAGAGAATCGTTCTGTCCATACACGAACCCGATGATCATCTTGTAAAACAGGACTAAGTATAAGATGACAATTATTAATACGTCCATTAAATCTACATCTATCTCTGGCCATTTCTTCCCATGGGCCTTTCCTGGCAGCACGATATGCATAGTCCCACTTAAACATAGTATGTACAACAGGCGAAAGGTCAAATGTCACCTGCAATTATATTATATATATATATTAAAATAAACATTGTACACGTCATAGCATATTATTGTATCAAAGATGATAATGCAACTTAGAACGATTGCATGCTATTCTGAATTATTTCTAAGCAATCACCATGATTACAAATCTTACATTTTCAATACGTTTAAACAATAATTTAATGATTGTGTAATATATTTTAATTAAAATTCAAATATAAAATAGAGAAGAATTTGTATATTTTCAATGAATTACCTTTTTCGTCGTTCTCCTACGACAATTGCATTCATTTGTGTTTTCAATTGAGTCATCTTCACTCTCACTGTCACTCTCATTCTCACTACTACTACTACTACTACTACAACTGTCGTTTTCTTCACTGTCATCATCTGATGTTTCTGTATCATTGTCATCATTATCGTCGCTGCCATAAATATCAAATTCTGAGTTACCTTCCTCGTTGTTCAATTCTGTAGAATCGTTGAATATAATTTCACACGAACTACTAGAATCGGAACTATCTGATAATAAGGTGGATTCAGTTTTGGTCTCATCATTAGACAGAAATTCCGGGGTTGGTGGGACATTAGGGCCGCTGTTTAGCGGCCCCGAGTTGGTCAAAATCATTTTAGTAGGAACTATTTCCCGAAAACCTGCAATCTTCAAAATATGAGAACAATAATATTCCAGAAATAATATAGTTTCAATTAATCGGTTAGTATATAAGCAAAGCGTTAAAATTTGCTTATACGCTATAATAGATGCTTACAAATCTGCCAGGTTCTAGCGCGGAAATTTTGACGAACACGTTCTGAAGCAGCCGTAGGTGAATTCTCGTTATCAATAGGACTAGGATATCTTGAAAAATCGACATCATCTTCACTACCACAACACTGTGCCAAATCAGGTGTTTTCACCAATTCATTCGATAAAGGCTCCATCGTATCTAATCCTGGTATAACCATTTTGACTATAACTTTTATTCGGCCATTTTTACATCTAAACTAAGCGGAACTGAACTGAGTTAGTAATATATAGATAAACACAGTTTGACCAATTCAATAAAACTAATTCCCCTAGAGTAAGTATTCAGTTATTTTTGATACCGAAAGTATGTAAGAAAATTAACGCAATGAAATTTTTTCAGACACCTCTAATATTAGTTTTTTTTTTAAATTTGGTATTTTTTCACAGGCTATTTTTATTTTTTCACTTATTTCGAACAATTAATTGCAATTATAAAGAATAATTACAATAATCAAATAAACATGTGGCGTCTCGATTATTTTCCGCTAGGGACAATATACAGCACCACGAACAACACTAGGTTCCGACACTTGTCTTCCGCTTTCTGAGATGATTAATCGATCTTCCTCGTTTATATCCATCTAAAATATCCGCCGCCATTTTGTGTGATCAAAGTTTAATTAAATATTTATCTCGTTTTATCGAATAACTGACTAATGCATAAATAAATATTATTATTTTCTACTGACCTCAGACTTCGTATTTATTTACCCATAACAAACATGCCCCGAAAATACAACAAATTTTTTTAAAACAATATTTGAATGCCGGAAGTCAGTAAGAAGTTGGACAACGAAAACAATTGAGACTCTTCAAATATTTTCTCGATTATTTTTATCATTTGATATTACAGAATTTTGTAGCAACAAATTCGGTAAAATAATAAAAATTAAAAATTCAAATGAAAATACAAATTTAATATCACGTGTTTTATATTGACATTACTTCGTTATAAACACTGCAATCATTTTTGATTCATTGATAATAGATGAGATATGACTAATATGTATTTTCAGAATGTTTACACATGCATACATATATACGCCTAGTTTTAATTCGACTTTATGGTCAAATTGAAAAATAATTGCAACATAATTTTGTAAAATGTCAAATATTTCAATTAGGAAATAGTTTTATTTACTTTGAAATCTGGTGCTACTCGTATTTTACAAAACAATGGACACGAATATTACAATTTCAGGAGAAATGCAAGCTCCACCGCTTAAACCTAACATAAGCGGGTAAACAAATATTTCAAATATATTAAATATATTATAATATTTATACATATTGTTTATTATTATTTATTATCATGTTTGTATGAAAATTATGCAACATATTTTACGCAAAAAAAAAAAAAATAACTGAATATAACCTATTTTGTATATTTCTTTCTTTTACATCATTAGATCTAATTTCTTGCAATTGTCACAATTTCAACTTAGTAAATTAGAATATCCTCAAGTTCAAGCATGGATCGAACATAGGAAAGCTAATATCAAACCTTGGAGTTTATTTTTAAATACCAATTATTTTCGTTCACCTCCAAGCGTTTCAAGATTGAGTAAACGAATTGTTAAAAATATCGAATACTTCCAGAGCAACTATCTATTTGTATTCATTGGATTATTCATATATTGTCTGTAAGTTTTATCAACAATATTGATAATGTATTCAAACGATTGAGAAAAATGATATTATTTTTACATCATATTGTAACATTTGAACTATGAAACATCATTAATGCAATATTTTTTTAGGATTACATCGCCCTTATTACTCATCGCTGTTATGGTACCTCTTGTAACTTGTTATAAAATATCTAAGCGACATTCTAATGAAGGATTATCTGTACTCGGTCATAAATTGACTTTAGCTCAATTATATTTGTTAATAGGAATTTGTTCGTTGCCTATTTTTTATTTGGTTGGTGCTGGAGCAGTTCTTTTTTGGGTACTCGGTAAGATTAAGATAAATTATTATCTTCATCGTTGCCCATTAATATTTACAATAATGTTTAAAAAACAATCAGAATAATTTCAAATATATGTAAATTTATTATAGGTGCATCCTGGTTTTTAATAACGCTTCATGCTACTTTTTACAACATTGATTCAGTTTTGTGTCCAGGACAAGAGGAACTTGATTCATTAGTAGTTCAAGAAGTGTGAAGTTATTTTAAGTATACGAAACAGGTAAATGTTTTTTATAAGGACAAAAAAATAAAAAACTTCGTATCGAGAAAGAATGATATTCCTCTTTAATAATTTTCATGAGTCTTTAAATAATTTCTGATTAAGCATTAAAAATATCTACTGTTTTACTCAAAGTTATATGATTATAACAAATTGCATAGAAATCGTATATTCAAATTAATAAAAAAAGATATTTTAATTTTTTAATATTATATATTATTATTACTATTACTATTACTACTATTAATTATTGTAATTATTATTAGTAATAAAAAAATAATATATATTTATGAAAGATTAAAAGATATCAGTTCTCTGCCAAGAATTAGGATCCACCTTATAATTGGCACATATTATTATAAGCTTCCACTGTTTTATTTACCTAATTTATATAGGTAAGTATTACGATGGATTAACTTAAGTTTAAATATTAAAAAAAAAAAAAAAAAAAAGAGTAAAAAACATGATTTACAAATTTAATTATACGTATGCTAAAATTATTACAAAATTTGTATTAGATTATATATAATCATTATTGTGTAATACAAGCATCTTACAAACAAAAAAAATGGATTTTCGATTTACTTCTAAAATTACAATCGAAATTAGGAATAAAGTTTTAATGAAAAATTAAATGCTTACGTGTTAGTCAAGAAAACGTTTCTTTTATGCTTTCTAAACGAACACAAATAAAACAGAAGCAAACTAGATTTATGTCATATATAAGACATATTTTTTTTCTGAATACTACAATGGCTTGTTACAAAAATTTGACATTTATGTACCATTTTTAAATAGCAAATGCGGTAATAGTTTTGAAATTATAACGATAATACAATTATATCCTATACATGCTATTATACATTCTATTTCAGACTTACAATCCAATATTTTATTTGTGAACAACGATGCGAAATAAATGATGTGTAAAAAACAAAAGGTATATGTATACATAATTTTCTAAATACACTATATCACAATACAGAAATTATATACATATATTATTATATATACATATATATTATAATATACATATTCATAAATATATATTATATATATATATAAGAATAATATATGTATATAATATATTGGAACTGATGCATGTGTAACTATGATGATATTAAATTTATTTATCTCTCATGCTAATGCAAAGAACTTGACAATATTTTTCTTACATAGAAAAATTGATTCATTTTTTTAACAAAAAAACATGGTTAGTAATTACTCATAAAAGTATCTTATATAAACATAAAGATACTACAAATATAAGTATGATTATTTTAGATACATATAAATGTGTCGTATAAACAATAACCTTGGTAAAAAAAAGTATTACTTTGTCAACTTAAAATTTATGAAACAGCAAGTTACTATTTGATTGATACAACCTTTTCTTTGTTCTTTATTATATTTTAATTACATGCATCCAAAAACTGATTATAATAGGTCTGAAAGATATAAATTAAAAGTACATTAAATATTATCGTTTGATTTTTCTTGTTCTTTTTTTTTTTTGTAAATGAGTTCAGTAGCAAACAGAAAAAAATTCTAAATGAATTTTAGTCGTGTAAAGTCTATTATTTCAGATATGCCATTCTAATGGTAGGTTGGTAATATGAATTGTCCCAATCATATACAAATAGTTAATATTAAATTATAATATATAAGAGCCTTTATAAATATTAATACATGAGAAAGAAAGAGAAAAGAGAGAGAGAGGAGAGAGAGTATAGTTTAAAAAAAAAAAAAAAAAAAAAAACCCTAATGGTTCTTTATAATTAGGATTCTTAGATTTAACAAACTAGTCGAAAATAAGGCAAGCTTTATTTAAAAAGAAAAACAGTGTTGTTAATGTCAACGAATCATCATGAATAATAAATGTTTTATGAGTTAATATTCGGATAAAACATTTAAATTATTGATTAACATGCAAAAGAACTATCAATTTATAAAATTGAAATGAATGTAATATATCATAAAACACAGAATAGAAGTAAAAATAATGAAAGATAAGATTTATGTACACATCTTTCAAAACCAGAGAAAAATATAAGAAAATCAATAATGAAAAAGCAAATTCACACAAAATCAGCTACTCATGAGTTGTATACAAAAGAAAAAAGCTATGTTTCAAATAGAACACAGCGTAATTTCAATTAAACTGATACCTTTAACCCTTTGTAAAAATAATACTACTTAAAACTAATATAATGAAAAATTTGAAATTATGAAATTTAAATGGAAAAAATATTTTTTTTAGTAGGATTCATTTACTGGATTTATAAACGTTAAGTGCATAGATTTATTTTGCACGTAAGTTCAAAAAATGTACAACCATCATAATAGAAGATCATATTATGTGTTAATGTTGTACCAAATTATTTTCATTAACCGTATTATTATCCAGTAAAGAAGAAGAAAGTGAATATATTCGTAACAATGATAATCAAGAATAATACAGTTGTGTAATGTGAAATATTACATGTGATTTGGATTTTTTTTTTGAGATGTTCTGCGAAACAAAAGCTAAGGAAATTTGTTAATAAAAAATTCTTAGTTTTTGTATAAAAGACTATACCAAGTCTTCATCACAGTAACTAAAAGGGATTAATTATAGTTTCATGCAATTACACACTGCACTTTATATCATTGAAATATTATCATTGAATCAATTGTTACTTATAAATTACACTTAATATTGTTTTCTCTTGTTGATTCCCAAATCCATTTATATTTCTAAACAAGATTTAATAATAATAAATCTATTTTATAAATAAGAATGAAATCAATGTTCTATAATATTACAATGACATGAAAGTTTGAGAGTTAGCTGCTGCTTACCCTTCGAAAGAAACTACAATTAATAGGATATCACAATATTAAGATTAAAAATGCTTAGCAGAATTATCATTCTGTATAGCATCTTTATCTTTGTTTAATTTTTAATAAAATGTAAAAAAAAAAGCAATAGATTATATTTAAAAATTAGTATTACTATTGCTACGATTGACCTTTTTGCCAATAACTCTGTTCGATGTCCTATGTTCTATGTTCGATGCTTTATTCGTTGCAGATCTTAATCTATATCCTCCAGAATTTACTGTATTATTAATTGCAGCTACGTTAGGAGCAAATGATTTGATACACTTAGCTGCTTCTTGCAATTGTTTTGATAAAATCTCATTCTTCAACTTTTCAGCATTTAATTCGCGACGAAGTTGAGCTTTCGTTTTATTTCCATATGGACATAGTACTCTATGTTGAATAAGAGATATGGCTGATGGCCTCATTTCAGGATTTGGATGAATCATCAACTGCAAAGAATATTCATTATTTCTCTTTTCTACTATTAAATTAATTAATAAATATTTACCTTTAACAAATCATTGAGATCTCTACTATATGCTGGTAATTCTTTCAAATTTCCATTTCGAATATCATGCCATTCGGGACCATTTTTGGGAAGTGGTCCACCACCTCCAGCTTCATATACTGTAAGACCCAAGGCAAAGATATCAGCTTTCGTTAAATGATTAAAATCTTCATGTAAGATTTCGGTTGGCAAATATCTACAATCGCCCTCTTCCACTTGCGGATTACTAATAGATGTTACGTGGCCTAAATCTCCAATTTTATATGTAATTTCTTCTTCAACTATTTCTTCTTCGTCAAAACCATCATCCGCAGAATCATAATTAACAGCAAGCAACCTTTTTTCCTTAGAAATAAATATATTTCCAGGTTTGATATCCATATGTACTAATTGAACACTGTGTATATATCTTAAACCTTCAGCAACGTGTAATAATAATTGACGCATTTCTGTTTCAGAAAATAGTTTCTTTTCATTTTGCAAGTTTAATATGGCATCCGCCAAACTACCACCATTGCAATATTCATTTTGTATAATCATATGATTATCTTCTGACCATGCTGAATAATATCGTACAACGTGTTGATGCTTGCCAAGAACAGCATGGGCATATACTTCATTTAATGCATTTTTTTCATTGATACTTCCAGCTATAGGTTTAATACTTTTTTTAAGAGCATAAATACAACCATCTAATCTATTAATACATTTGTAAACAGAACCAAATTCGCCAGTACCAATCAAGCCAAGTTCATGGAACTCTCTATGATACCTGGGAATGTTTGATTCGTGTAAAGCAACACGTTTAGTTGGTTGTTCTATTTCAGTGTCAGATTCCTCAGAGTCAGCGAGCTCAAACTTATCATTAGGAATGTCTGGGGATCTGAAAAATAAAAAAAAAATAAAAGATTAATAATAAAATGAGATACAAATCTTAAAGCATAGCAAATAGTTTAATTCTTACCCATTGAGACTGCGTTTTGATCTACTTCTTTTCCTTGCTGTTATTAACATTCCACTTGGTGTAAAGGGATTAACATTGGCTGCGGGTTTATCTGGTTTACTTTGGTAACTACTAGCTACAGATCTAGGCTTCTCCATTATGAAAAATTTAGAACATTTATTAGGAAGTGGAGTATGTATTGTACTTTTTTCCATTAAAGTTTTAGGCGTAGCTGGTGAGTCAAATAATCTTAACGCTCTGACGCGCTTGTATGGAGGACTACAAGCTAAAGACATTTTTTGTGAACAGCCAGTTTCACGGGTTGGAATTTTTAAACCAGTAGGTCCTATATACAATTTAAACGATTCAAGTATTAGATATCACTATGAAATAATTAATATTTTAATTATCATTTTATATCAAACAAAATCTAGTTAACCATAATGTTTTGAACACACAAATACACACACATAAACACACAAAACACATATGGTTCCATTAAAAATTGTATTACATTATCTTATTAATAAATATTACAAGAAAATAAAAACAGATGTAAATTGTAAGACAAAGCACGATGCATTTTAAATGCAATGTTTCATTGATAGTACTCTTTACAATTACAAATGTACTAATGTTTGTTTATAAATATTTAAAGGGTGTATTAGTGTGTGTTCACATAAATTATCGTATACACACACATTATATATACACACACATATCATGAGAGTTAAATATATATATTTTTAAAATTTCTAACCTGTCACACTAATGGTCGGTATTTTGTTATTATGTGGTATTGTAAAACTATCATTGAGATCACTGTCGGTTGAACTATTAAAAGCCAATTTTTTCGGCTGTAGGCTAGATAATGAATATTCTGTTGAGGAATCCAAAACATCTTCGATATCGCAACTTGAATTATTTCCAATGCCGCTTATATTCAGTTCCTCGTCTTCAATATCACATGCATCAAAATGCAACTTTCGTGCAACCTCCATGACTTTATTTTGTCACCATAAGTCTTATTCTATGCAATTATCTCGTGTGAAGTTAAATTTTCACACCTAAGAACAAACACTAATTCACAATTCTTAACACACGTTGGAAAGGCTCATTCAAACGAACTCGTTTGTATAAAGAGGCGTTCGTTATGGCGGGTGGCACAAGCTTGAATATAAGACACGTTATTCTCAATATTACTATATTTTTTTAATTTCATTTTATTTGATCAGTCTACCAATTTTTATCTTTAGTAAAAAATAGTAATTATTAATAAATTTATGTATTACCGTTTAACGATTGATTTAACAATTTTATTAATAATAAATTGATATTCAATTTAGAGATTTACATTTATATTTAGATTCAACACTACGTTAACAATGGCCGTCTTCAATTATAACATCTGCTTGTTTTATATAATCTTTAAATAATCTTTTAAAATATATCTGTAGTTATTTTATATAGCATAATATTTAAAAGATTTAATTACTTTAAAAGAAATATAAATAAATGCATATTTTTTATTTTTTAAACGTTTTATAAACGTTTAATGTTAAATGCAGGGTAAGTAACAAGTTACTAGACTTCCAAAAGTTCCTAGACGATTTAAACTCGTAATTGATTTTCGATAAATCATCTCGTACGTATTATTTTTTTTCGAAACTTTTTAGGATTTTAATTTTATAATTTAAAAAGAAATTAGTCTAATAAGTCTATACAAATAATAATTAAGATTTGAAATTATTTACAAACTATTAGGATCAATGGTTACTAGACGATTCCAAGTCACAATAATAGTTGCTATTTTGAACTATTTTATTTAAACATAAAATATTTCCTGTTTTGATAAATAAAATTATTTACATACTACAAAATATACGAGTGTTTAAATAAATCATGCAATTAACAGGTAAACTTCGAAAGGTATTAATTAATAAATCATAATAATCATAAAAATTTAATTTCATGATAAAATTAGATAATAAACGAAAAATTATCCATTTAAAAAATTACATTCTTTGATTTTTAAAAAATAATGTGGCAACAATGAAAGCAACAATGCAACTTGTTGATAATGTAACGGTTTTTTTTAAACGTAGTGTTGATATAATGTAGCCAAATTTAATTAAATTATTAATTAAACGAGTTTTCACTTAATTCTTAAAATGTTTCTATTAAAATACATACAAAAAATGTATATAATAGAAGAAATAATGTTTGAATATTGTCTTTTATATTGCCTTTGTTTTTACTACCTGGGTAGATAGAATTCTTTGAAAGTAGAGTTGGCGTTGGTAAAAAAGTTTAAAGGTTGGTACTAATTGATATATTAGAATGAACATTTTTAAAATTCTACTCTTAATTGGGGAAAAACAATTGAATTAATATATGTTATTCAAATGGTAACAAAATAAATATTTATTTCTCTCTTACGTTAATTATGAAACATTGTAAAATACATTCTTTCATTTTACTCTTACTTTCTATTTCTTAGGATTCCTATCTATAAATCTTAACCATTTTATATTTTTATCTATATTAAAACTAAAAAATATATATGGTTAATAATTTTAATATTAAAAGTAACTTTGTAAAGAAAAAAAGACAAAAAATATAAGTACATCTAATTGGGCCACGTTAATATTTCCAAATTGTGTATATTTGTTGACAGGTAAGATAAAATTAAATATTTTATTTACATGTGTACTTAATTTTACTACGTGACAAATTAATTTTGTTCTATTTATTGAATTTGAAAATATTGGCTAATAATTTCTAAAAATAATTGATATTATCTCATTTAATATTAGAGCAGCTGTTTGTACTTTAGGCTTTAAAGGTTATGAAGGTTATAAAATAAACAAATCAATATGAATAAGACTCCAGTATCAATTCTTCAAGAAATGATGGTAAAGAGTAAAATGATACCAAATTATGATTTAATACACGATGGTGGAGGCACGCATGTAAATACTTTCACCTATCGTGTTTCATGCGAAGGACTTACTGCAACAGGCACAGGACGTAGTAAAAAAGATGCTAAACACGAGGCTGCCAAAGCTATGCTTGAAAAAATAGCAGCTCATAGAGCTTATCCTCAATTACCAGCATCACCAGCAGATTCTCCTGTAAAATCACCTATACGAACTGCCGTACCAGTTTCTCCAAGAATTCCACCAAATGAACCTTTTATGAATGCAATAGGTGCTTTGCAGGTATTTACTTTTATTTGTAATATTTTGATAGATATATAGATATATATATATATATATATTAACATACTATCGGCGGATCGTGTATTAATATGTTTTATGCAGAACGTAAGCCAAGTTTCAGTAAAACACTTACTAATGCTTGTTTTTTTTCATTGTCACTAATTTTTGAGCAGGAATGATGTTTCTGGTTGTTCTTTTTTGTAAAGCCTGACCAGTGTTTAGTCTTAAATTTATTAATTTTTAAGAAAAACTAATAATTTTATGAAATGTGCTATTTTGACACTGCAAGTTTCGTGCTTACAAAGTAGCATAAATTCAGTTGATTGATTTTGATAGCATTGAGTTTAAGTTTTCTACATCTTCGAAATACTATTTGATACCTATTTTCCAAATTTCATTGAAATCCTACTATTAGATGTGAAAATATAAAATGTTTTTTAAAAAGTGCACTGCTTTCATATTTCGCTCATTTTCGCCCCCTACACGCATGAGTCAAGCTCGCGACGTACCCGCCGATAGTGTGTTAATTATCAAAATCTATATTATATAGTCAATGTAAATTGTCTTATATTTTACAGTCACTGTGTGGAGATAATTCTTTGGAAGAACCAAAATATATTTCAATTAGTGATGAAGGTCCACCACATGCAAAAATCTTTACTTATCAATGTGTACTTTCAATGTTTAAAGAAGAAGGAGTTGCTACTACGAAGAAACAAGCGAAACATGAGGCAGCTAGAAAAATGTTGAATCGTATAAAAGATCTTGTGATTAATTATCCAGAATTTTCGAATGATGACCACGATGTGGTAAGCGAGAGCAATGCCATTGCTATATCACTTTATCCTCAGTTAACTAAAATTTCACAGAAAAAAGTTAATTTAGGTCTTAAAATTTCCCAATATCATATTGCATTAAAACAATTTGTTATGGCAATGAACAAAGAAATCGTAGAAGAATTAAAATCCATCAAACTTGACATGGATAAGAGTGAATTATCTGACGATATTTTAAAAAGACTACAGACAGTTTTAACGCCACTAGCCATAAATCATAGTATAACAACATTAGATTCTAAAGAGTCAGATATTGTTATAGTTTGCATAGGTTTAGATACTTCTCCATCTATTATACAATGTGGCACAGGTAAATCTGAAGAAGAAGCTATATTTAAAGCAATTCCTGATATTATTAATTCTCTTATATTACTTTTAGAATAGTAACTAGACAGATAAAGAATTGATTTTTATTAGCCAAAGGGTATTTGAAAGAGACAGTAAGAATACAAAGTAAATAATTAACGAATATATTGATCATTTTAAGTTAAAACTTAATAAATGGCTGTGCCGTAATTTTTAATAAAAGATTAATACATACACAATATTAATTTATTTTATTACCAATTTCTGTGTATTAACTTTTACAAAATTATAATTTTATTATGTATTCTTATCGTGCAAACAATTTTGTTCATTTTGATTCATTTAATGTCACATAACAAAGCTACTCCGCGCAATGTCCAATGGCGAGGATTATGATCTGTTTGAAAATCAATAGAACCAACATATTTTTGATCTGTTCTCTGAGGCTTTCTGTATATAGGACATTCGTAAAGTTTTGGATCTTTCCCCGCTGTAGTATTAATCGCATATATATAAATAACGGGCATTTGTTCATATAAGACTTTGGGTTTACTTTCTATGAGTTTACCAGCCCTACGATCAAGAGATGCACCTTCTAAAAATAATCCGTGTACATAAACCCCTTCTTGAGGTTGTTCTTTAATATCTTCTTTATTAAATCGTGTTATAAGATTTTGTAATACCACTGAGTCTAGAGCCCAACCTTTGTGCGCTCTGGTGACTTCCTAGATTGCAATATATTTGTAAAAATATATAAGAGTTTTAATTATTTTTTTATATAGGATGTAATTATTATATGAATTATATTTTTATTAAATACATACTTGTCTCATGGCTGTTAAAAATCCTTGAGGATTAAAGAAACCTGTCATCCAAAATACCTTAGATCTCCCATGGATACACCAGTGTCTAAATTGATGATCTCTTTCTAAAAGTTCTGTATACCAAAATCCTAATGTAGCAGATTCCCAAGAAACCTTTAACCATTTTTCTGGTATACGGGCATCGTACATAGAATCTAATGATTTACGCAGTCCCTGACTCATAATGATTGTACCTTCTATAGCTAACTTTAAATTCGTTAATGTACTGTAAACTTCTTTGATGACTCTCGAAATTCTTAAAAGATATATTTACATATTATATATATTTGCACATTATTAAAGGGACATGTAAGGTAAAACTTACCTGTCTATTTCTTGTCTTAAGAAAATATTCATTGGTAATAATGCTCCCATTCTATTGAGAGCTTCTTTAACTTCAAAAGAATTGTATTGTTTTGGTAATTTGGATAACATATCATTTGCTAATTTGTAAACTATGGTTTCTCTAGTTTCACCACCTTGTGCACCACCTTCTTTTGGTTGGACACTGAGAATAGTATCCAAAATTCCCTTAGCTGTATTTATTTGATAAGTGATATCTGCATTTGGATGCAGTCCAAATACTTCTGGATTGTCAGTTGTTGGAAGACTATCGATGTAATCTACGTATGCTTGGAGATTTCGAGTTTGTGGTACTTTGTAGCCACGATAAAATTCGAATCCAGGTCGTAAAAGTACATCGCAGAACCATACATGCGTGAATGTTGTTAATAAACGTTTGTCAAAATCATCTGTAACTCTACCACCGTATTGAACCTGTTTTTTTCAAAATTTTACAGTATTAAATAACATATTATAGATGAGATATTATCAATCTATTATACCTCTCCGAGCATGTAACAAACTGTTGGCCAGGATACACCTTTCTTAGGATCCATATCGTCAAGATGATTTTGAATAAATTGTACAGAGGCTGCAAAATCTGCTTGATTAAATTCGTAAGGTATATTCCAACCGAGCGGACCGAATTTTCTACGTTCTTGTACAACCGTATGCAAAAATGCTACCGCGTATAATAACGGTGGCCACTGAGATTGTGTACTATAATCTAATGTGTCTTGTGTTACATTTTGATAAGTTCTTTTTAAACTAGCTCTGATACCTTGGGGCGGTTCGTTAGTGAATTTAATTGCCATCTGAAAATTACATCTAAATAATATCCTGTATTTATAATCTAATATTGAAGTAACGAAATATTTGTTGTTTTTAGTATAAACCTGTAGCAAACCAATTGGAAATTGTGGATGCACTTCTGTTGTCATCCATAATCTGAAGGCTTCGTGAACGATATCTGTTTCAACGAGTGCATCCATTACTTCTGTGCAGAATGGTAAGGACAAATGAATGTTTTGTAGAAGAACCCAACCACCTATATTCATTGCATCAGTAATCATTCGGCGTGCATGAAACTCTTGTCCTTGACCCATAGAAACTGATTTTAATTCTAAATAAGAAATCTCGATTAATAGAAATCTATTTGAATTATATTACTTGATTAATGTAAATATTCTTACGAATAGATTTTTGTTTAGCTAGTGCAGTAATTTGTGGACTAGGATCCGAGCCAATAGATAATAAACAAATTAATGGTGTTCGAACTTCTGATTCCAACCAAGTTGCTTCCAAATCCAAGATTTTTGCTTCTCCATATTCTTTGCCTAAAGATTCGACGACGTAGTTTTTTGCTTGGGATAAAGTTCTATCAGGACTCCAAGATCTGATGAGTAATAATTTCCTAAATACATCTAAGTTTTTCTGATAATCACATGGCAATTCTTCTTCTTCAGGTCTTTCTTTTTCGTACCAAACACGCCATTCTTTCTCGTTAAATTCTATTTTCGTTAAAATATCTTCGAAGCTATTTAATTTGCTAATTTCGACCAAATTAAGCCACGTTATGTCGAGAATCCATTTGAATGGTTTTGGTGTCACCGCATTGAGATCCAATGATGCACCACCTTTTATGAACGCATTGAATTCCATATGAGAAATTTGACCACGATGACAATCGATTTTCATTGCTAACATTAACGTGAATAACGGTTTATGTCGTTCGTACAGACTTCTCAAAGTGAAAGCCCATACTTCGTATGTGAGATATTGTAATATCGTATTTATCCTTTCAACAGTGATAGAACTCTTGACTGATCTCGTTATAGAATTATCGAATAAAGTTAGAAATTGTTTTAAAGAATTTTGATACATCACATTGACGTTACTCATTTCTACGATTAAAAAATATAAAATAGATCCTCTGGATGCAACCGCACGAAATTCTTCACGAGCCAATGTGATTTTCTTTTCAGTCAGAGCCGATACTTTTAATTTTTCGTTAACCGATTCTGCTGTAGATTTAGTTTCTTGAAGTACTCCTATCAATTCTTCATCGTCCACCAAAGATCCTTCTGAAGATGTAAGCCTGTGCAATAAAGTACCTTCGAGTTCTTTCATAGAACGTTGATTCGTCATGACAGATTCAAACAGAGCTACTCTTTCAGCTTCTAAATCAGCTTTTTCCATGAGTATAACACGACCCAATAATTGATCTTCCAGACCCAACATTGTCACAGTAAAATCTATTATCGATGTTTTGGCTGATATTTCAGGACTATACGCAGGATTTGGTAATTTGGTTGTAATGTAAAGCATAAAACCAGGCATCACGTCGCATTCTTTGTCACCGACAATTACCTTTTCTATAGAACCGGATTTGATAAAGTTTTTTTCAAGCACGTTGTCGAGAACAGGATCAAGTTCTTCAGCAACGTCTTCGATCAATAAAGGTCTCCCTAACGATAAACTATCTTCCAGATGTGTACGAAAATATTTGTGATTTAAAGAAGTGATTTGCAATTCATTTGAACATTCTTTATTTTTAATCCACATTTTACCTTGATTTTGAGGATCCACCAATAAAGGATACGACGAAGATTTCGTAACGATTAATGCATTTTGCACGGATAATTCGTCGTTTGGTAAACCTTGAAGTGTCCATTCTGACATAGTTGCTGTGTCGACCAACATGTGAGTTATACTCAAATGTTTTGTAAATGGTATTACTTTTGTCGTTAAGATATCCATCCAAGCAGTTACCAAATTACTTCGATATTGTTGATTGTAAGGACCACAGTATGATAAGAATCCTGTTGCTAACAAAACATCACCAACTAAACGACCTAATTGCAATTTGAAATCTTTACTCTGTTCAGTCCATCGAACCTTTTCACCTCCTAATCCATTGATAAGTGTAGTAGCTGCTGTCATTTTTCTTAGGCATACATTTGCAGCATCGGTTAATCTTTGTTTCTCCGAAACAGCAGCATCGTATTGTTCTTTTACAGCTTGCAAAGCCATTTCTCTTTCCGACAATTCTCTCTCGGCATTTGCTAAATCCTCCATAGCTACTTTCAATCTTGCTTCTTGTAAAGCTAGATTAGCTTTTAGGGGTAATACTTCTTTGTTAACTGAATGGAAGAACGACATAGCTTTTGTCCAAGATAACAAACCTGCTACATCACCACAAACTCGTCTAGCTGTTTCCATATTGTAATCTTCCATTTTGAAATAGGGTTGCAATAATTCGACCATCTCGTTGTTAATTATATCTTTCGGATAATTTTGCAATTGCAAGAGAAACGTTGTACTAGCCATTAACTTCAAAGATTCCGCCCACGAAGGTTTCGGACATTGTGTTGAAGGATCTGGTACAACTGAACCTATTTTACGTTGAAACAAAATCAATACGCAATCCATTATTCTCATTATAAGATGAGGTGGTCTTCCTAGTTTTCGAACGGTCGCTATATGAGCAGGTTTGATGGTATTCAAAGCAGCTTCCGCTTCCTCTAAAGCAGGTTTCGCAGCTTCCAGTTTTTCCTCTGCCAATGCTTTTTCTTCGGCAATGCATGCAACTAACTGTTCCGCTTTTTCTTTTACTTTTTGTACCTGATTTTTAAAAGCTTCCGCTTGCGTAGCTCTTTCCGTAACTTCTAACAAAACCGTTTCCGCTTTTTCCGACGCTTGAACCAATTCCCTTTCCATTAAAGCTAAATCCTTCTTTAAAATTTCGACAGATATAGAAGCTTCCTCGAGTTTAGCCAATCCGGTGTCCATTCTTTTAGCACCCTCTCCTAACTCGTGTTGTTTGTTTCGATAAATGTTTTTATAACCACCGATAAAATTCAGATAAGATTTCGGTGTTACGTGAGTTGCACGACGAAATCGTTGAAAATAATCCATCGAAGTTTTAGCTACGATATCTTGAATAGAACCAAGAGCATTGACAAGCTCGTTTTTAACTTCTGTCGTACAAGCGATTTCAAAATCATGAAGAAAATGTTTAGCTACCAAAACTAGTGCATTTTTAGGCCACGGTTGAAACCAATCGATTGTGCAACCTGATATCAATGCTGGAAAACGTTGAGCACGGTTTCGAAATTTTTCTCCTACCGGTGAGAAACAAAAGACAACGTGTAAATTTTGACAAGTCCTTTGCAAAAAGAAATCCATCACTAGCTCGTTGTTGATGGTTTTCTTAGGATTTTCACGTTTCAATATTGGTGTCAATTCTGAAATGATCTCTGCTTGTTCGTCGCGAGTAAATAAATTGCTGATTACACCGGAACTCAAAATGTTGTTCAGATATTCTAAGAATCCTTCCTCCTTGATATCCAGATCGGTGAAAATAAAGGTAGTACCTTTTCCCTGAGCTCCACAAGATCGATAAAGGAATCTCAAATCTTCCAGAAAGTTTGCCACATTGTAGGATCTTGTTAATGTTATTTGAAATGTTTTGTATCCAGCGATGAAAGATGATAATTTAGTAAGACTTTGTTTACCCGATCCACCTACTCCTACTAACATGACATTTCCTTTCGGATGTCTTATCACTCGAGAAATTTTGACTAGATGTAACATAGCATCAGGAAAAAATACGAGGTCCATTCCAGCACCTCTTTGCATTTCATTAAATTGTGCTAGAAACATTTCCAACCTGTCTCGTAATACTTGTTCATCATAAACAGGTTCATAAACTTTTGGTAATTCAACATCGGCATCCTCGTTTTCCTCACCGGTTGGTTCAGGAGCATCCCTGTAATAAAAAGAAAAACAATGTTTGATAAAAATTAATTGAATGATCTTTTGTAATTAAAGTAATTACCTCATAAAATCAACGAAAGCTGGATTTGGTTTAGTCATTTCGACGTAATCATCTCCTAAAATATCTTTAACAACCTGAACAACCTCTTCCTCGAACCAATTCTTATCCGATTGCATTGTAAATCTGTCGCTAAAAACTCGCATGCATTCGTGTTTCCAAAGTGACATTAATACACTTTCCTTATCTATTACAGTGGACAAAGTGCCGACCATTCCCTGCCAGATTCGTGATAAATCTCGAAGACTGAAAACGTAATGAAATTTAGCAGGAGTTGGTAATAATTTTGTTCTCGTTCTTTCCCATAGGATTCGAGTTAATGGAACCATTTTTTTAATCAGATTTCTGACTTCACTAGAGAAACCTCTTTTAGCATTGTAATGTCCTTCACCGAGTACACTGAAAATACGATCGATCGATTCGTTGTTGGGTAATGTACAATTGAATATTGAAAATTGTCGTTTCAATCTCGAAGGAATGTCATTTCTTCCTCCACCAGGATGACACATTGCAGCAACGAATGTAACGTCAACAATTGTGGTAAAATCGCCAGGTTTTTCTAGGGAATAAAAACCTTTCATATCCATGGTTTGTCGTACAATTTCGTTGGTAACTTGATCACCCCATTCGTTTATTTGAGGTAAATTTATGTCATCTACGAAGATCAACATCTTTTTACCACCTGGTGGTCCAAATGTATTTCCCATACGTTTCTCCACATAACTTTCTATGGTTTTTTGAAATTGGCATGGACTAGTCGCTGAACTAAAATTAAAGGATCGATTCAAGGTTGTATCTGGGTTCGCTTTTTTCATATACGACTTCATCATAACAGTTTTAGCAGATCCTTGTTCACCAATTAATAAAACAGCTTTATCTTGTCGACCTATCAAATCGATCAGATACTGAATCCGTACATTATCAGGTATTGGTACGAGTACATTACTGTAATCAGGTGTTGAATACTCGGGGTATACATAATTCGTTACCATACTTGTCCAAGTATCCCACTTTCCTTTTTCAGTGACGAAAAAATCAAAGACCTTTGCATCAGGATCATTCTCTGATTTTGGAAGATCCCAAGTTTGAAAGTTTTCTTTCAAAAATACGTCGTATTTTATTCTATCAGTTGTTTCCAAAAGTGCACCCATACCCCAGATCAAAGCAAAAATGTAAAGACGTTTTAAATGTTCCGCAGTTATTGGTTGAGATTTATCTCTCTCGTTATCATCATCTTCATCATCTTCTGTAGATATTTCTGGTGGTATTAATCCTTCCAGAATAGAAAGCATTTGTTGAACGATATTACATTGTAAAACATTGATAGCTAATAGAAGCGTTTGAGTTGACCAGGAATATACCTGTAAATAAAATCATAATTTGTACACAATTGTATAACAATTCGTTTATAAAAAAAAGAAAAAATAATACCTGAACAAAAGAATCGGTAAAACATTGTTCTAAAGTTTCTCGTTCGAGTGTTGACCGACGTTTGAGCCATGCCGTAACTACTGGCTTCCAATCTAATCCTGACGAACTCATGTAAACCATACCATTACGAGAAACAGTTGCAGGACTAGCATTGTCAATGTCCTGCGGTTCGAAAATAATTTTACAAGTAGGTGCCATTGGTAAACGATCGCCATTGGCAAGTGTCAATGTTTTGTTATCGTCTAATACGGAATTTAAATTTTCAATCCATATGCTGTCAACTGGTCCATCAAGGACCATCCATACGTGGTCACCTTTTTTCAATTTCAATGTTTTACGCCAAAGTGCAGAAAATATTCCATCTGTCCAATCATTGGTAGCCACATCCAAACGACCAAACATTTGTGCTGCTGTTATACTCTTTGGGTTCATCCTCATTTCTCTGAGGAACGTAATATTTGTATAATTTATTTATTTAAATATTATTTTAATGAATTACCTGTGATAATCACCGGATTGGGTCAATGCTTTCATCAGAATTTGTATACAAGTTGTCTTTCCAGCACCGGTTGGTCCAAGAGTCATAATCCCATGTCGTACTCTTTGAGTCTCATAAAGTTGAATTAATTTTAATACCCACGGTGGATGATAAATCAAAGAAGCTTCTTCTACCTGTTGATTAATTGCTGTCTCTAATTCTGGATACGAAGTTTTTTCCAATGCTTGATTAGGAAAAAGATCTGCTACCAATGATATAAACAGTGGCTCGTCTTCGTCTGCAAATTAATTTATCATTAATTATTTCTATAGAAGTGGTTTTGTATTGAAAATTCAATGATTAATTATGCAAACCTATGAGTTTTGAAAGATTCATGTCCCTGAGAACACGCATGACGATGGTACTTTCCGAATCTTTAGAATTCACCCTCTTTGCTGCACCCAATGTTCTAAGCACTGACAAGATATTTCTTAAACCAAAATCGTAATGAACCTTTAGGGAAGAAAAAAAAGTATAATTTTAATTTAAGAATCAGAAGAAAATGTTGATAAACATTTACCTGTTTGGTAAGTTGTTCCTCGCAGAGTTTATAAAGCGTATAAAATTTACGAGCAAGGGTAATATTTTCTAAGAATCCACAGCTGGCTAATTTTACTCGTATAATAATCTGCCTGTCTGGTACCATCATTGCTACAGTACGAAATTGTATTTTTAAATTTTCCGGAAGTTCTTTTCTACCAGCATATCCAGGATTCTAAAAGTAAAAACATGTTTAGTATAAAATCACGAATAATTTTGTATCACGTTACCATTGTAATAAATATTCCAAGTTCTGGACACATGTCAATTTGATCACCATCGGTGAATATAAATTGTTTTTTCTTTTCTTTCTTAGCAGCTAATACAACAGCAACTTGTTGAGCAGCTACAGATAAAACTGGTAATTCGATTCTATTAAATTCATCGAAACAACCCCAGGATCCACTTTGTGCCAATCCTTTGTAAATTCTTCCAAGTCCTCTATAATCCATTTGATCAGAACAATTGAACACTACGACGTATTTTGCCAATGTTTTTCCCATGTCTTTGACAGTTTCAGTTTTACCAGTTCCCGCAGGTCCACAAGGTGAACCTCCCATTGACATAGACAATGCTTGTGCTAATGTAATGTAACACCTAGAATATTAAAACCAATCAAAAATATTTGATATTATATCAATTTAAAAAATTATACATGAATTTAATTAACAAATAGAACCTGTCAGTTAATGGCGTTATTACCAATCTTTCAGTACACCCTAAATATTCATTTTGATATACAAATTGTACATCCGTTATTGATATCATAGTTTTATCCATATCTTCTTTAAAATAAAATCTGCATTGTTTCAACCATTCAAAATCGTGTACGGAACGTACATTAATGCGACACTGCAATGATATTGTTGCAAATAAATTATGTTTATTATTAACATGATTATACTGACCAGTATATCAAATATATCACGCTGATGTACATGTATAGTGATCAATGTTTCAAATTTGGTTCGATCAATCTTTGATAAATCTCGAGTTGTCTGATCGATTAATGTATTTAATAAATCTAAAAATCTATTATTTGTTTCGCTCATGATCCTTTTATCTGCACGTGCTTGTGCTAAAGCTAATTCAGCATCTCTTGTCCAAATCATTTGAATTCCTAATATTCCTACTTGTGCTGGCATTTTGTTAAGAAAATTTAATAAATCAAAACTTATGTCATTCATCATCGAGTATCCTTGTCGAATGATCGAATGCAAAGATTGTTGAGACGTTTGTAAAAGTTGCATCAACCATGTTTCTACAGAACCTTCAGCTTGCACAGCTTTTTCTAACTGTAAAGTTAAATTTGTTAATATTGTCAAAGTATATATTTAATTGGATAAATAATGATGGATACTCGCAGTTATAGTTTCACCTTCCGAGGAAATAATTGCTGTCATTTTATTGTATTCAATGTCGTGAAATTTAACATATTTGGTATTATCAAAAATTGATAATAAATGATTTTGTATAGTGTGGGAATCCGATGCTTGACCGAGTATCTCCAAAAGTGCTGGATCAGAAACGAAAAAGAATCTTGGAAACATCATACGTTTTTTTTCCAAGTATCTAAAATATAAAAATAATTAGTCATAGATTAATATTAACAAAATTATAATAATATATAATATTTACCCGCTAAGAGATTTCTGACAAAGTTCCAATTGTTCTTGTAAATGTGGTAAAAGTTGTTTCAACAGATCATCCCCAACGCAACATGGTACAACGCCAGGTGTTTCGTGAGCCCTTTGCATAATTTTTTGCCAACTCTTATCGATTTTACTGAACCTTTTAGCTTCTTTGGGTAATTGTTTAGCAATATCACCACCCACAAATACAGCTTCGAGATAAACCCACATATTTTGAACGAGTAACCATCTTTCAAGTATTTCATTCGTATTAGAAAGATCTGCAAGCCATTGTTGTATCTGCTTGCGGAATGGTGCGTTGTATCTGTTCGACATCAATGAACCTAAAATCATTAAACTATCTTCCAATTGTCCAATAGTTTCAGCAGTGGTGTCACCACGTAGCAATAATTCTCCTCGATTATTAAATGTCATGAATGTTAATTCGTGTGAGGACCATTCATTAACGACTGTTCTTAATTTTGCTTCGATATCTTTTTCTTTCATTGCACTGATACAAATATCCTCGATATCTTCCTTGTATTTTAACAAAGGTGCTTCGAGAATATTTTTCAAACAAAAATTTTCATTCTCAAGATCAAAATTGTAACTAGTAACTTCAACGATTCTTTGCCAATGACGTGGTTTCATAGCTTTGTTAGCCATTAATTCCAATAACGGGCACATATCGTTGAAATCATCTATTGTTTTCTTCAATGCAAAAAATGCTGGCCATTCTTTCAAACCTTTTGGTAATTTACGACATCGATTTTGAAATTCCATTAATTCGTTGTTGATATCTTCGATATTTACCTGTTAAATGAAAGAACACATGATTTAAATGAAAGATAAACAATTAATTGATCATTCTTACCTCACCCCAAGGAATATCGTAATAACTGCTGACACGATCTATCACATCGTTATACAATTTGTACAATTTTTGTAACAAATTTAATTCTTTACGAATTTGAGTAAGTTCAGGATAATCCGTAATTGGTAATCCAAACAATTCTTCACCACTTTGATATGTTTGTAGCTTTCTCCACATACCATCAAACCTATTTTGAAATAAAATTTGTCTGTCGGAAGCGTCACGAGGACTTAAACCAGGTTGCATAGGTCCCGATGATTTGTATTCTTCACAATACATTTCGTTATCTATACGGAACTTTTCAAGATTATTTCTCAAATCATTTTCAAACTGTGGTTGAAGATTTAATAATAAAACATGACTTTCTTGTGCACGTGCTAATAATTGTTGCCATGTGTAACGAAGATTGTCAACTTGTTCTAAACATTCAGGATCAACTGGAACCTCGTATCTCGTGACTATGTTAAAAGCTTCTTCGATAGGATCAATTTTAAGTTCCATGTCTACTTCTTGTTCACGAATTTTTTTCAAGGTATCCATTATCAGACGTACGTCGTCCAAATCACGGATTTGTCGATCCAATTTACGTTCCATTTCGTTGATAACAGCATAAACGTATTCCATTTCTCTTCTGTACTTCTTTTTCATGGCTTGGCCAATTTTGTGAGTTGAACCTGCGATGCATTTGGAATTATTAAACTGTAATACAATTATTTTGTCGAAGATTAAAAAAATAAAACTTACTCTTTATTTCAGTGTAAAGCCCATATTTCAATCTTTCCGTAGAAACAGCTATCGATGTTCCAATAAAAACCATGTCAGGTTCTGTTATTAAAAAATCTTCTAACTCGCCATGTTTTCTTAAAGTACTTTCAAATTCTGATAAAGAAACTTGCAAAAGTTCTCTCATACTTCGTTCGTTTTTCCATAAAAATTTATATGGTTCCCATCGTTCGAAAAAATTTGACAAATCCTAGAAAAAAAAAATAAATTTGTATAAAAATGTTTTCTGAATTTTTTAAATATTGATCAAACGATTACTTGTTTGAGTTCTTGAGTACAATTGTTCAACATTGATAATATTTTAACGATATCTTTATTTTCCATGACCATTGCATAAAAATTTCTTTCTTGAACGACAAATATAGGTTTTTCTTCGGAAATCATTTTATACAGTCTGCGTCTTCTAGTTTTTAAATCTTCAGATTGTTCTTCTTTTTTCTTCTTGACGTCTACTTGAACACGCATTATTACATCAGCTAAATTCCTTTTAATATCCCATTGCAAATCTTTCCATGAATTCTATATGATTATACATTTAATTAAAAATAAACAATTATTAATAATAACATTCCTGTATATATATTTGTACCTTAGTACTTTTAACATTCCATTGCGAAACACCTTTCGTAACGCTGGTAATTATTTTCCCAGCAGAACACAAAGTTTCTTGTACGTCGTTCAAAGTTGGTTTCACCGTCACCGTTGGAATCATCAAAGTTGCGTGTAATAGAAACACAGGATTTGGTAGACATTCTATAAACATGAATGATACAAAATTATTTTATTATTATGTTACATTTTATTAATTTTATTGAAAAATTATTTACCAGGATCTATGTTACGAACGAAACGTTTTCTAATTGCATCCAAAGAAGCTTTTGTAACTTTGATCAAAACATCAACAACTTTTCTTGAATAATATCTTCTCATCTCTGACATAGCATTTCCAACCATTTCTTGCATTCCTTTAGGTAAACTATCACCAATCTTTAATAATTCATGAGGATTATCAAAATATGCCCAAACGATTGACCAATCGTGTTGCTGAACACCTTGTTCCGTATCCTTTTCTATTTTTTCTTTAAATATACAAAATATTATTGTTACATTTATTTGACACGATGTATTAAAAAAATGAATGAAAAATCCCCAAACCTTCTAGCAAATCGAATTGATCAAAATCAGCGAGTTGTTTGAAATCAGCAGCTGCATTTTTAACCAAACCCAAAACTTCTTCTACAGCTTCTTCAACCATCATACTTTTGCGATACAAATCAACTGCTCCAGTTTTGCAAACTTCTTCAGTTTTTTCGATAAATTCTTCTATCGTCCATGGATCGTTGGAATTTGGTAAGGAATGTAAAGTAATTTTTTGCATGCTTTCCAAAACGTGTAGAATTCTACAAAACAAAATAGGAGTTTATGAAGTCTCTAACAGAAAAAAAAAAACAAAGAATACAATTATTTTATTTTATTTTATACCTGTTGGAATAAACGTCGTGGATTCTGGTTACGAGTATATCAAAAATCTTGATTTGTTCTCTCGTATTTTGACAAAATTCGTTCCAATTTGGTTGAGTCCAAGTTAAATAAGTCAAAGCAGGTTCGAATAACGATGCAACGTGAACCAAATGTGGCAACAAAAGTGGCCTAACTTCTAATTTAACGCGTCTAGCTGTTGTTACAAATTCCTCGATCACCAATTGAAGAGAATTCGCTAGCATTGTGAAATGATCACGTTTAGACAATATTGCCAATGCTACGATTGGAACATCAAAGTTTAATTTTGCTAAACAATCAGCTTCACGAAATAACAGAACGATTCGACTTTCCAAATTGACTTTGATTTTTCCTGTCTTCTGATCGGTTGTTAAGAGTGGTCTGTTCTTCAAAAAAAAAAAAAAAAAAAAAGAAGAAAAAAATTAAATCACGACTTGTGCGTCCTAGAAATAAAAAAATATTACCGTTGTAAACAATCTTCGATGATCCATGAATTTTGATGAGTCCAAATTTCAGTAATGTCTGATCGATATTGGCCTAAAACAACCAATGCTTGAGCATAACGTTTTTCTAAATCACCAGCTAACGGCAACGTTTTTAAAACTGGGTGACTTGTAACAGAAGTAGTTAATTCGTTTAAATGTACTCTGAAAATGTGTAGGAGATTTATGTAGCGAGAGATTAGTAATCTGATAAACGTCATTAGCAATTTAAACTTTGTTCGATAAGTATTTTGTTGATTGGCTTACATTAACGAGTTCGCCCAAGTTAATCTTCCAGCTATAGGTGGCATGTGTCTTGGCAACGGTGGATCGTTTCGTTGCTTTTTAAAAAGTTTTACAATCCTTTCAATTTCTCTATCACAATATTTGATCACTATGTTATACTTTTCTTCGAGTTTGGTCAATGGAATTTTTTCGCTCACCTTTGTATTTAAAATAGAAGTCATTTTGTTAATGATAAATAAATTAGCAAGTTTGTTTAACCCTTTCGTTACGACTTACTTTAACGAGAGTATCGTTTTATGGTATAGGAATCCCTTTATGAGGAATTGTTTGTAACGAAAGGATTAATAATATTTATAAATAATTAATATAATATAATTAATATAATTAATATAATTAAAATAATTAATACTTAATTTTATTACCTTTTCGAATCGTGTTAGGAAACGTATACCTTGTGGTGTTTCCCATACATCTGCATAATTATTTTCTATGATATCACCAATGTTTTTTTTTAAGTTATCCGTTTTTATCATAAACACATCATAATCTGTATCGAATTCCAAATTTCTTGGGTCTAAATAATCGTAAGATTTGTTGGTAGCTATTTTTTTTGCTTCTTCGAAAACTTTCGTGGTATCTTCCAAAGCTAAAAACAAAACAAACGTATTATCTTACCATTGATATTTTATTTCATTCAAATATAAACTTACATTCTCCTAACAATAATCCTTCCATTCGTCTCTCGAATAAATTTTGATAATCTTCGATGAGATCGAACATCGTTACGATTTTTCTGATCCTAGCACAAAACGAATCGAATCTTCCAAAAACGTGGGTTTCGGAAAATGAAAATTCTTGTTCTGTTACAGCTGGTGAACATCGTACTAATCTGTACGTTTCTCTGTATGACCTTTTATATAAACGAATAATATATATTCTAAATAAAGAATTACAATTTTATCGATACAAATATTTACAAATAAAAATTTGATCGATTACTTGTTCAATTTCAAACAATGTTTTAATCTTGATCTAACTGCCAATCTGTCCTGACCCCAAATAGTTTCTCTTCCTCTTTTGGTAACATAATCACGACAAGCTACTATCATTTGATTTGTAATTTTGATCATTAGTGAACTAGTACGTTCCGAAGTGTTATAAAATTTTGATACACTGTAGATCAATCTTACTGTTTGTAGTAAAGATATTAAAGAATCTTTCATTTTTATCTATAAACATTTTTAATGAATTTTTGTTTCTAATTTTAAGAACGTATCAATCATAAAATTTTAAATTAATAAATTATATCTTACAGGATCATCTAGGTATAAACAATGACAACATTTTTCTAATGCTTGAATAAACTTTGCATTATCTTTTGCTTCATTGTAACAATAAGTTACTTCATCTTCTGTGTCTACCCAACTTTTGATGTAATTCGAACGTACAACTTGCAAACAAAGAAGTGACATTCGTATTTCGTGATCCTAAAAATCAAATAAGTTAATATAATAATATTAAATATTAAAAATAAAAAAGAATAATATCAAAGTTTAAACCTGTAATCGACAAACAAGTTGACTGAACTGTGCACCTCTTCGTTTCCAATATTCCAATTCTTGTTGTGGTCCAGAATGATCATTTTCTCTTTTAACTTGTTTACTTTCTGCTATAAAATCTTTCAATCTTTTAATCCACACTTTGACTCTTTCCTCAACTTTGGTTACATTATTTGTATCGGACATAAAAACTTTGGCTTCTTCAAAATTGTGGACGTTTGTCATGAAATTTTCACCATCGTTGAATATGTTACCTTCCAAAGCTATATCCTCGCATACTATAATCAATTGCAATCAATTTAAATTTGTAACAAAAAATTACAATGAATATATTTTAAAATAAAATAAAATAAAATATTGTAACCTTTCAATGCACTGCAAAATGATCTGAGACCAGGTAATAGAAGACTTTTGATCATCGGACAATCATCTTCTCCTTCACCAACTGAATGTGCCAATGCCTCCATAAAAACATTTTCTACGACACGTTGAATCGATGGTATGATACCAATTTTCATGGTATCTATTATACCAGTGTATAAATCTTTTTGAAAACCTTCTTCTGGTAATTGTTTTGATAGATTAATTCTAATAACAATTAAATCAACAAAAATTCAGTACATATATAATATTGTATAATAAAAAAAAAAAAAAAAACAGTTAATATATAATACCGAAACATATAAATGCAAACTCCTGTGCAAGGCACCTGCCAACCATCTGTTAAAAAAAGTTTCTTTTTCGTAGCTTCTTTTGTCTCCTTTTGTAATTCTTTGGTTTTCGATGTCGATGTATTTGGTGCTAGTCGTGTACCTGTAGGCTTAGTTTGAACCTGTTAAAAAAATATTTATTTTTATTAAATTAGAAAAAATAAAATAAAAACCATTAAAGAACATTATCAGTCGATTGGTTTAAAATAAAATAAAAAAGAACCGTGTCAAGTGGACGAGGTGGTTCAACTTCGACGACTTCTTGATAAAACCATACTAAAGTAGATCTCATATGTGGTAAAAATAATTCATTGATTTCGTCCAACATGTCGCCTTCGAAAACATGATCCATTACTTCGTGACGAGCCAATTGGGTTGCATCCATCAAAAGTTGAAATGCAAATTCCAAACGTGGATCCATTTCTCCTCTTCTTGCTTTCCTTTCGCATTCTTCTTTTCGTTTCTGAAACAAACAAAAATAATAATAATATTAGAAACATAATAATCCTAATAAATGCATAATACTTTTATCAATTTTTTACAATAATTATCAAGAAAAAAATTATTTGCGTTTGAAATTGAATTAATTCGACCTGAAGAACATCACCGGATGATTCATCTTCACTTTCATCGTCAGAATTATCTGATCCTTCTTGGATCAAACCAGGTCCTTGAACGAACATCTTTTATGAACAGGTGATCCTACTCCTCGAGTATTACAGCTAAGAATGGTTTAGCTATTGTGACGACTATACTAGGAAAGTTTTGGGTATAGGCGTGGGTTCGAAGGTACGGGTGGGTTTAGTAGGAGCAGTGCCATTATTTCGTGTCTGGCACCACCCTTCTTTCACTTAGGTGGAAGGTATCCTTCGTGTTTTCTATGTGGCAATTTCCTCACGATTCTACTTTTATCAGTCGATAGAAACAAACAAAGGTTTCTTTACTTCAATTCTATTTTTTCTAATTTACAAAAATAGGTGAGTTCAAATATTTTATTTCTCATTAAATAAATCATTGTATATTCCTAATTATAATTTTTATAAATTAATATGTTTATGAGTGAAACAGAAAATAAAATAATATCGTGTTTTTTCATTTTTCATTTTATATAAAATATTAAACGTATAATTATTTGTTTGATTTTGTATCAATTGTATAATTTCAAATCATATAATTCATGTTTAATATAATTATTTTTATTTACTTTCATATCTTTTGAATATATAATCACAAAAAAGAAATGAATGATTTATTATTTATCGAAGATCATGCATATAAAATCTGTTGCAATATTAACGTTACGTGTGTCACGATAAATAAATAAATTTAACTGTTGATGTTTATTTCGATGCCTTTTAGTATACATAAACCGTACAAATGTTAAAATGCATGATTTTAATCAAAAGCAAATGCATTATATTAAATCGAGGTAATACACGATAAGCATAACTCGAATTAAAGAGAGTTATCTCTTTCCAAAATCGAATAATACACCCACGCCACATGTTATATGTACTTGGAACACGTAATATTCTACAGTATTTTCTTTAGGATAACATATGAAAGATATTACCTATGTATGCAGGTCTAATTTTCAATAACTACATGTGTATATGTATATATGTGTATATGTTTGTGTTCGTTTATATTTGGTAACACGTATAAATACACTTGCAAACAGTAATATTCCCTTTACACAAATCGTTGCCCTATCTCAATTTTATTATACTATTCGTTGCATGCGATCGCACTAAAATTTACCACTTTCTATTCTTGTTACAAACGAATTGTTATTCGTATAAATGTTTTTGAAGAAATTACGAGTTACCACTGTGAAAGTTTGTAAACGCGCATCTACGTTTAGAAAGTTTTAACACTGCAAAAGTATTATTATGTTTAAACATTTTTTTTTACTACCATTAATTGTTCATTTATGAACAAAACTTATGCGTATCCTATTTCGTTTTACAATTAGTATACATCATGCAATAGTAGTATAACTTCAAACAAGTTTATTTAATTATTTCAATTAAGTTTATTCATTTGTTCGATGTGTTTTATAACTAATTTTAAGTTTCTTTTACGTTTTTGTTTTTTTTTTTTTAAATTCAAGCTTACTCTGGCTTCTTCCGTTGTTTCGGTCATTGTCAAGAATTATTATTTTCGTTGTATCAGGATGAAAAAAGTGTCTCTCCTTAGAACGATGCACGTCTTTATGCAACTTGCACCCGTAATGCGACATTAACTGCGAATCTGAGTTTTGCTGCTGGCACCAAACCACCTCCTTCTCCCGTTTGTCCTTTACTTTCCTCCTCTACCTGCTCACAATTATCCTCATCCTTCTTTCAAAACTATAAATTAATAAATTAAATCGATCATTCGTTTGTTCTTTTCCAAATTATTTCATTAAACATTACAAATTAGATATAAATTACAACAATTCATCAATCTTTGTATCTATTTTAAATTATATGAAAGATTATCTAAAAATAAGAAAAAAAAAATAGAAAAGAAGATAATTACTTGAAAGAAAAAATCCCATATCTGTGAAAAAAAAGATCGGTTGATGTTATCAGGTATCAAATGATATTAAATATGACAGATAATCGTATTTAAATTGGTCTGTTTGATATTGAAAAATTGTTCTAACTGTAAAAAAAAAATGACTTTTGGTAGTGGTTGAATGCGTGTATCGACTTACGTTAAAGTATTGACTAATGGTTGGGTTTAGTGGTGAGCTGAACTTAGAGCAAGTAGTACCACTCGGTATCAGGACAGACATAATCGAGAGTTTGTTTACAGTGCATGTGTTTCAATCAGATAAGTCGTATTTAAAGAAAGATTATAATTTTTAAATTTCATTATTTTAAATACAATTTTTCGATAACATCTGAAAAAGGAATTATTTAAATTATCGAGCTAATTGTGCGATGATATTGAAGATAATTCAAATTTTAGGTTTCGAAAGTTAAGCTTTTGTATTAGAACAATAGATGTTATATTAGAGAGAAAATAGGGTAAGTAATAGTGGCCATAAGGGGTAGTTTGTTCATTGAGTTAGGTGAATAATAGAGATCAAAAATATAATTAGATTAATAGTACGATGAATGAAGTTTATGGGAACCCGAAGTTCGTAAATGTTATTCAATAGTTCTCTCAGTTATCTAAAGATAAGTTTGTACTGGATATCTATCTATTCTTCTCAGTGCATCCTGAGGGAACAGGAGAACTTCGTTCTCTCCATTTCAGAGATTAATTGGATACGAGATAAATTATAAATCGATATTTTAGATAATCCCTTTCGAATTAAATCTTTTCTGAAAAATGTTAATGCTTTTATATTATTTTTTTATATCATCAAAATTAATTAATTAATTTTTTTTAGTTAGAATTTAATTATTTAATTATTAATACCCTCAATTTATATTAACATTTTTATATTATAATTTTTACTTTCCCCAGTCAATAATTTGATTTATTTTATTGCTAAATAAATGCAAATATTTTCAAGTGCATTACTAAATTTAAATAAACAAACTTAAACAAATAATAATTTATTAAAATATTAATTTGTTTTAATATTTTTAATTATTTCTTGTTCCACTTTTATCATCTGGAATTAATGCATTTGTGCAAGGTGCATTCTAGTTCCTTCTTTTACCGCATCGATATGCTAGCGTTGAGAGAGACAGTGTTTCCTTTCATAAACACAGTGTAACACTCTTTGTAATTTATTATTATAGTGATATTAAAAGTAAGGTTAAATTACTCATAAATTTTTATCTGTTTTTTTACAGTGCGTTGTGCATTATTTTAAAATTTAAATCTTCCAATAATATTAATAAAATTATTCGTTCATTATGTTGTCAATGTTTCTCCATTACTCTAATTGTTTAATCCAGAATTATAAAAAAATGGTAAGTTGGGTTTGATACATTTTAAGTTTTTGTATTATACTGATATTTTAATTTATTATCTAATATATTTAGGAAACACGTTCAAAGTTCACGAGAAAAAAAGATGAAGGATAAAGATAAAGAAACAAAAATGGCAGCTGTTGAGAAACATTGTTCTGATTTAGTACAAATGAAACATCAAGCAAGAAGATTGACCCATTAGAAAATTTACATTTAATTAGAACATGCAAGAAGATCTATCAATTGATTTGGAAAATGACAATGTGTACAATTTTTTTATGGGATGATTAGACAAGTCTCAGTACCAAGACTTTGAAATGGAATCAAAAGAAATTTCTTCAGAGCATATCAGAAAATGTTAAATTAAATGAAATGTAAGTATTTTAATGTACTTTCTAACTTTTACAGTTTGATGAGTATTTCTTTGTTGATAATATGTTTGTAAAAAATAAGGAACGATATGAAAAGGTGCATAAGTTAATGAAAATCATTGAAAATTTTTATCTCTTTGAATTGTATTCCAGATAACTTGTATCAAGTTAAGTCAAAAAAATCTTATTAAAAGATTTCTTCATCAAATTTAATCCATTTGTAATCACAGCCTGTATATTAGTAACAAATGATACATATCATTTGTCTAGTTGATATGTCCGTGTAAAACATTTGTATATTTATAAATAATACTAAAGTTTTTCTTGACTTAAAATAATGTCAGAAATTTTCTTCTTAAAACTATTAATTGTAATAAATTAAGGCGCCGGTGCTGGTGGCATAATATAATCTCCGTCAGTTTTACATTCCTCTTCCCAATTGTCAGGAATCATTGGTTTTAAAATTTGTATAAATTCGTCAATAGGACAAATCGTATCACATCCGGGTATAGTCATCGGATATGGCTCGTAATTGGTTGTATTTCTTAAGAATATCTATTATAATTAAAACACATTTTTATAATAATTATATAAAGTAACATCATTGAATACTATTGAAACGATTATACCTGAACATTCCAACCATTGGCATCTTCATGAAGTTCAATCATAATCATAATATTATATTCTGGCATTTGATTATTCCAAATATGTAATACATCAAGTAATGTTACAACAGTACTGTCATGTCCAACGTACATAAACATTTTTCTCGTTTCAGGATGTAAAGTTTTTTCCTTTTTCGCCAACATGTCGTAAAGGATTTTCTTAAGCATAGGACCACCTTTAAGTCTTTTAAGCATATCGTTGTAAGTGTTAAGTTGAAAATCATACAACGTAAATGGTATTAATTTATCTGGATAATATTTTTTAGTCCAATCAGGTAATGTCAAATTCATTGTTTCCTAAATAACAAAAAAACAATTGTACATTTAAACAAACAAAAAGAAAAAGTAAATATTTTGTTATTTAGAAACCTCTGCTTTTAACGTGCTGTACAACGAGCTAACATCTTCGGGTGTTGCAATAGTCATGCCTGTTAAATTACTTAATTCTTCGTAAAGTTGTTCATTTTTATTTTGAACATCTTGTACTTCCGGTAATTGTAAAATCTTATTACGTGCTTGAGCATACTTAGGGCACGTATCCCAAATTAACATAAGCTAACAAATTCAAATGAACATATAAAAAAATTCCAAATATTCTTATGTGTATTTTTGTTAATACAAAATATTTATACGCAGTATTAATATAAATAAACACAAGTGTTTTACCGTATCTTCAGAACGGCGTTGATAAAACAAGGTAACTGGTTGCCAAGGAAAATCAGCTTTGAACGATTGTTCTTCGGTTGGTTTCCATAATCCAGCTGCTTCTAACATTGCTGACATTTTCGTACGATCTACTGACGTACATTGTAAATGAAATATATCAGGACTATAAGTTTCACCAAGAAATCGATTGTAACGTTGCCTTAAGTAGATTCCTTGATTATACTGATTGACTCGACCTACCTAAATAAAATACAAATTAAAAGTATTATAAAATGTATTAATTAGAAGAAAAAAAACAAATCACATTATCATTCTTACGTTAGTTAATTGACCCCAACCATAAGGTTTCATTGTATCCGAAACGTAAGGATCATTTGGATAAGTATCCTGAGGTGCTCGTTCTCCATGACGCATAATCTACAAATACAAAATGAATTACTGTATTTAACAAATTAATTAAAATGTTATTTGTTTTGCTTTTTTTTTCTATAATAGAATGAAAACATAGTTTTGGTTTATATTTTTTCTTTTTTTTCTTTATCGACAATATGTTTTATGATAAATTTATTTAAGGGGACGTTCCACCCGAAGTACCCAAAAAAAGGCTATTTTCGCGAATTTTTTCTAAGAAAATTATAAAAGATACCGATATAAAAGTTGTTGGGTTTGTTAAATGAAGTCTTAAATTGCATAAAAAGATTTTTTTTTGTTAATTTTATTTAATTTTTTATGACAAAAACAGTAGTTGTAAAAAACACCTGCTTTGGTAGCTTCATCAGAACTTGAGAACGGCTTAACTGAAACAAAAAATCAAATGGTTTTATATTCTGTATGACTTTAGCTACAAAGTGACGCAAATATATGAAATTTTATCAATAAATAAAAAAATGGTGGACAAATTACAAAAAACGTTATAAATGACCTTTTTTTTTTTGTTGTTTTTGATTAAAAATTAATAGTAAAAATTAAAATTAAGAAAAGATTTTGCGTCACTTTGTTACAACTCATGTGTAGAATATGTGGATTAAATTTTATAAGAATCGGTTTACTGGTTCGCGAGATAAGATGGAGCTAGTTTTTCAAAACTTTGTTTCGAGAAAAACGCGTTTAAAGTTTTTTTTACTAAAAATCGTGAAAAATTCTTACCTAAACTTAATCTGCGATGCCTGGACCGTACAAAAGACCTTCTTCTTGTTCAAATTCTTCAATTTCTTCCAGCCTTGCCTTCTTCCACTTTGATCTGGCATCTTTTGAGCACTCAGAGCTTCGACGGTTCACACATTCGATACGTCGGTCGTCGCGTCTTTTAGCAAAGTCGATCGCTCCTGGCCCAAGTTTCATGCCCATCGTTTCCATTATCTTCATCACTGTTCGGAATCCTTCGTTGAAGATACATGCAGAAACTTTGCACGCAATTTCAACAACTTTTTTTGCTGTTAAACATGTGTTTAGGTGCCATGTGCCTTAGCTTTGAGGTACTTTCACCAATCGATGGAACACTTAGAATGCTTCGGCTTGGCATCAGTCGAAATTTGGTGATAGTATCCTGCTCAAATCTCGTTGCGCATATTCTATAAAGAATTCATATTTCTTCTGACTGCTAAACCGTAGTTCTCTGAGAGTTCTTTCATCAACTTGATTGTAAATTTTTAGTTTTGACTTCAGGAACTTTTTTCACAACAGTCGTTTTTCTCTTCACTACTGTTTTTGCTATGGTTCTTATTTTTTTTTTTTTCAGCGGTTCGGCGTTTTTCTTTTCAATTTTCTTCTTTTGTATGAGAGCTTTTCTTGCCTTATTAGCGCGCTTAAAAATACGTTTTGCCACATGCAAAATACACTCCAACTTTTTAACAATGAAATCTTCACCGTATGGATGACTGTAAAGCAGCATTTTAAAAATCTTGGAGTCTCCGTAACCGATATAAGAACCATACCGCACAGCAAATTTCTCGATTGAACAAGATAAGAGTCGGCCGTGCGCGTCGAACGCTCAGGAGAGCGTTCCGAAGTAGTAACGTTCAGGCAGCAAAAAAATGTAGTTAGAGACATCGGATCTTTTTGAAATTTTAACACAATATTTCTATATATATATACATTCGAAAAATGTAAAAAAAAAAATTAGATTTTTTCAAAATTGCAGAGTGGAACGTCCCCTTAATTACATCTCTTACGTAAACGAGGCCACATGTATATAATAACTTGGTAATCGTTAAAAAGAAAAAAAAGAAAAAAAAGAAAAAAGAAGTGTTGTCTTTTTACCTTGCTGTCAATTCTTATCACTCATGATAAATATATTGAAATGAGATTGTACAGCTGGTAATAAAATTGCGTAGAATAACGTGAAAGGAAAAAAAAAAAACATTGAATTTAAAAAAGAGTGAGAGAGAAAGAAAAAGGAAATAATTCTCAGAATTCTTTTCTATTTCAACAAATTAGATCAGACGCTTATCGTTTCATTTTCGATAAGTCAAATATAAAAAGTTGAAAATGTGCTTTTCCTATCTCCAATTTCTTAATCATTCAATGATGATATTATCATGGTTGAACTTACCACTGAAATTAGACGCAAAGTATCTTCGTTAGATTTGTAATTATGTAATGCATCGTTCGCTTTGTGCACATGGTCACTGGTAATAGGAGATTCTGAAAATAATTTTACAATGAGTGATGATTAATGTTAAATGATAATCATGTTAAACACGTATAATTAAAGATTTATTTTTTAACATTCGTTTAAAACTCAACACGATAAAACGTTCTTATTATAATTTTTGTTGTTCTTCTTATAATTACATTCTTTTTTCTCTTGTCTTTATCTTTATTAAATGATATACTGAAGAACGGATGATAAATTAAAAAAAAAAAATATATCATTACCTAAAGTTAAGCGTAATTTGATAACAGTTAATAATAATAATGCGAACAATGATGAAGTATTCATGATTAAATAATACGAAATGATGTTAAATAATTAAATGTTATTTTACTGTGTGAATGAATTGAAAACTTAAAACGACTACGTTAAAATATAAACTTTGGAGCTACGCGTGCCGTGTACGCGCCAATTGAAGCTTTGAAACAAACGCAAGTAGATAAATCGCGCATCCCCACCATATTGAAAGAATAAGAAACGGCTATAACACGTTAGGAGGAAAGTTTTGTAATAGTAGTGTTGACATTGGATGTATATAATGTAAATTAAATTGTTTGATTAATAATAAGGAAAATGAAAGTTATATAAGATATTAAAAATTAATATCGTTGATAAGAAAACCAACGAATCATCAGATTATTAAAATATGTATATTCAAAATTAAAATGCGATATGTGTTCATCTTGGTAATTTTAATTATAATATAATAGCATAATTAATATATAATATTAATTATAGTATTAAAAATAAATTATATATATATAATATTATTAATTAATATTATTAAATTATTATAAATTAAATAATTATAATATTTATTAAATTATAATTATTATAATATTAATTACAAAAAATGAGTATGAATGATCATCAACATTAAGTATAAAAGATAAATAATATATATTTGCTATTTATCGTATATGTTATAATTAAAAATATTTCATTTCTGATAATAAGGTCATTTATTGTTATACATACGCTTGCACTTTTAGATATTGCAAGAATAAAAGAATGAAGTTCAAGTGAATATCATGTTTCATAGTTTCATCCAATAGATCATCCAAGGTGAAGTTCATAATTTTACATGAAGATTACTTTTTTTTATTTATCAATCAAAATTATTAGAATGAATAACAAAACTGATAATAGAACAAAGTTCATTAACAATTTTTTCGTACAGTAAATAAACATTGATAATAGTAATGTTATTTTACATAATATTAAATTTTAAATGAAATAATCTAAATTTAATCACGCGTAAAAAGATTAAATTCTTTTCGTATAAGTAACTGTCAAATTATTAAAAGATTTATCAGTATTCTTGATAAAAAGTAATAAATATTTCATTAGTATTGCCATTCGTGTAATTAATTATTTCAAAGTCACAGATAAGATTTTTTGGTAATATACATAGGTATACATGTGTGTACAAAAAAATTGGATGATACACGTAATCATTTTACCAAATGATTATCCTAATTTTATTTCTATCATTATTCAATTAAATTATCCTTGCATGAATTGGTTCAGATTGGTTAAGTAATAAATGGTAACGATTACATCGGTGTTACGACAGCGTTAACAAGTCAACATAACAACTGTAATATAACGTGAACGTTTACGAACACACGAATAATCTTTTAACACTTGTAAATAGGATGAGTACAATTTTTGAATGAATTTATTTAATATATATAAAGTATAAATGTATATGTATCTAATGTATTTTTTTTGTTTTTCGTTAATCGTCAAGGGCAACCGGATAATAAAATGAATATTCATTTGTTTTTTATGGTAAAGATCGCGGAATCGTATGTAAATCGGTTATCAGCTCCTTTCGTAGTACAATTTATCAGTTTTCATTGATTTTTTTTTGCCTTTCACTGGTTGTTTCCTTCTTCACCAGATCTACAGGAAACTTATTTTATTTCGGACAAAAAGAAAGGAAGGAAGAAAAAAAGGAAGAAAGAATTTTAAAAGCGGAAACTTGAACGAGGTTACACGTAAAATTATAACATAAATTTGAATATATATAAATAAGATAAGATAATAAAAAGAAAGTACAATATAGATAATTAATTTGTAACACGTTTCTACGTGATATGGTATAGGTAAATTTTGAGTCAAGGAAAACCGCTTAAAAGCAGCCGTGGATCGTATTAACGGGAAGAAAAAACCGGTGGTAACCAAACCCCGAAATGTTCGCAATAAAAAATCAACGAAAGGAATAACGACCGGTGATACAAAGGTTTATCCATCTTTTAATAATTTTTTGATACCATTTTTAGTCCCCCATTTTAGTTCGTTTCTTCAACATGCGATTCTCGTTGAAATATAACAATAAATAATGATATAATTTAGATTTTTTTCTTATTGATACGTAATTTAGTTTCTCATGTAATATCACAGGTCAAAGTCATGGTAAATTCTTGCAAAGATATGCAAAAAGCATGCGTTTCAACAACAACGGGGGGAACAACACAGTCAGGAATTTTACCTGCATGTTCTATGACAACTATTCAAAATCAAAGTATACCAATAACGCCAATGAGACCACGATCACTTTACACTGCACACAGTTATCACGCTCAAACCGAGGACACTAACTTTCAAGTACGTGTATTAAGAGTTTCACTTCTTTTTTTTTCTTTCTTTTTTTTCTTCTATGTAACATATATCTTGAAAGCCACATTCTTCTATTCTCTATTTAACTCTTTCGTAATTCGTCCGAGTACTACTAACACTTTTTCAGCGATACAGCGAATTGTCTAAGTACTTTGAAACACCACCACCAGCTGATCAATGGAACGGTATAACAACTAGTGCAACTAATTATTCAACAAGTTCACCTGCCATTTGGAGAAAATCAAGAACACCTAAAACTATTCAAACACAATTTTATCCTACCGATGAAGCATGCGTTTATTCGGATAATTGGAGAGAACAACATGAAACTGATGTGGGTGGTACTGCCAGAGGTGCACTTACCACACCACACGGTACAATTTCTTTGAGACTACGAAATAGAATTCGTGTTGATATGACTGTCGATCGTGCTGTGAGAGTTATCAACTTTAAGGTGCATTTATACAATTTATATTTCAATCATCATCCTGTTTGATTTATGAATAATTATTTAATTTTTTATCAATGCAGAATAATATCGTGCTTTCATTAAGCTCATCCGGATCAGCTTCAGCTTTGTTGCATCCAAATGGAAGAATATATCAATATGGGTCGCGTGTTGAAATTCTAGCTCATGATACTCACGGGAATAACAAGTTAGATATATTTTTTAAAAGAACAAACATATATCTAAAGATACTTTTATCTAATTTTGATTTCTATTGGTTTTAATAGATACGCAAAGATGTGGTACAAGGGTGTCAGTTTTACGTGCGAACAATGTGCACTTGTATATTTAGTGGACACTGCTGGAACCAGAACTACCACAGATTCGTTTTTGGATATGAGTCAAGTATACAATAAATTAATAATCTTGTAAATCTATCAATTATTTTTATACTAATTGTTCATTTTTGGATGATATTATTTTTAGGATTTTTCCTTAAGCGTTTTTTATTCTGGTTCGCGACATGGTTCGACGTGTTTGCAAGAAGCTGCCACAATTCTTGGAGCTTCACAATATTGGATTACCGATGAAGGTATTGAAAATTGGATCATCAACAATGTTAGGATTTCTCAGACTCCTGATGGTCTTGTCAGGTATGTGTTATCATCTATATACTTCATTTATAATTCTAATAATTAATGATGATTGTATTGTTTAAAAGAATTGGAAGAAATAGCAACAAGTATCAGTTGAGAACGTCACCCAGCAATGGTACTGCATCCCTGACAACACCGTTTTTACATTGCACAGCGTCATTGGGTCAAACATCTCATTTATTCGTACGTCGAGGTGAACGGCGTATGCATTACGATGGAACAAGTTTTATCGTACGCAATGCAGGACACAGTGCTGGATTTGACGATAACGACCAATTAAAAGTCTATTAAGAAATTTCTAAATATTTCTAAGCTATTTGTCATCACTATGATATTCTATTTATTAATGAAAAATATATATATTTATGACATAATCAATAATTAAATATATATTTAACGTTTATGTGAAATTGGTCAAATATATTTTTCTAATAAAATAGCAATATTATTTTTAATATATAAGAAATGCACATATTGTACGTATGCAATTAATTAATTCAATACTATTATTATAATTATATTATTTTTATATTTTTTTATAATTATTTATTTAATTATTTTAAATTTGTGTACCTGTAGGTATGCAACCTTTCAGACACACTTTGAAAATGTCGCTTGCGAGTGCCGTCTGTTGGGGCGGAATTTTTTGCCCGAAAGATAGGCAACACGTAATACATACGTGTATAAACAGTTCGGGCTTCAAAAAAATTCCCGTCCCAGTAGATGGCGCTTGCAAACAACATTTGTGGTATCACTGCTTACTAATACCACGAGATTAAAGATATACAAAATGATTAACGAATATAGAAAACTTTATTAATAAAACTGTATCTAATAAGTATAATAAGTAGTTGAAATAAGTCTTTGGAACACGTGGTGAGTACAATGCGTTGTGTGTCGTGTAGTGTGTATAATGCCATTAGCTATTGTTCTCATTGTTTTATGTGTTGTTGGTCTGTTTTATCATTTGAGGTATAGTTGTATAAGCGGTCTGCAGAGGCGTGACTGTAGATACACGTCCGCTACACATTTTCAAAGTGTGTTTGGAGGGTTGCATCTCTACAGGCGTAATATTTTTTATAAATAATAATAAAAATTGAACTTTAATATTAATAATTGTTAAATTATTTAATAATACGTTTGTATATTTCATACTAGTTTTATAAAGTACGATTTTAATCAAAAAGGAATACATTAAAATAAATCAAATGACTACACGATAAACGTAACTCGTATTAAAAAATAATCTATCACTGATATCAAATAATATACTCACGCTATGTTTTCTATGTATGTACTTATTTGAAGTACGTAATATTTTACAATAGTTTCCCGTTTGGATAATACAACAATGATATGCAGGTGTAATTTTGAACTACGGTCGGGTGTATATATATATCTGTAAATAAATTTATGAATACATATTAATTTTATACAAATTGCATTATCGTATCAATTTTATTATAGTCTTTAGTCGTTGCATGCGATCGTATTTTAAAATTGTACATTTTGTTCCTGGTACGAAAGAAAATTGTTAGAAACGTTCAAAGAAGTTAGATAAAAATTTAGAAAATTGTTAATTCAATTAGTATCTTAATTATTTGTATTTATCTTTTACTGTATTGATTTCATTTTGCAGAAAAAACTTTACTTTGAATCGTAGAAATAATTTATTTTACACATTTGCAATTCTGTTTGTAGAATATAAATAAATAAATGTGTTCTTTATATCGATTAAATGAATAATAAAAAAAACAAAAGTAAAGAATACTAAACGAAATATAAATGTTGATAATTTTTCAATGTTAAATCTGAAAGAAATAAATGTTATTTTATTAGTGAAAATTTGTAATTGTTTGAATTCAGGTGATTTGAAAGTTCTGGCAGTAGTTTATAAAGTGTATCGACTAAAATGTTAAAGTATTGACTAATGGGGTTGGTTGGTGTGTCGAACTAGCAAGCAAGTAAGCAAGTAAGTAGTACCAGTCCGTGTCAGGACGGACACACTCGAGAGTAGGTCTGTGCTTTTATGTTGTCTATCCGTGTAAAAGCTCTGAGAGGTAGAGAAAGTGTATTTATACGGAGGATGCGGTACGAGAAAACTGCTTCGTTGCTCGACCTACATTCTTTGAATAAAGTCTGAAAAAAAGAAAAAATAAAATAAAACTACGGTTCGATTAATTTAACCAACAGTTAACAATTTTCTTCATGTTTATCGTTCCAATTTTTTTATCATTTATCAAAATATTATGAATAATAATTTTGCAATAAATTTGCTAATGCATTTCATGTTAAAATGTGAATAAATTATTGGATAAAATATTCCTAGCAATGAAATTGAATAAATCGATAATCAAACGTGTATCATTAAAATTAATAATTAATTTTAAGGAAGGTGGGTTGTTCAACAAAATTAAAAAAAAAATTGCCGAGTAATACTCGACACAAAATAATAAAATACTTTTCCTTATTCTTCTTTTTTTTTTTTTAATATTTTTTTTCTTTTCGTTTTTTATTTATTTTTTTTTTTGCAACTATGCCCTCGCTGTTTATTATTTGGAATTTTCATTATTTTTTTTTTTTGTATCTTTTTCTTCTTTTATTTTTTGTAACTATATTCTAAATTCTAGGACAATAATTCATTTTTTTTTTAAATATTGTACCATTATCATCATCATTATTATCATCATCGAAATCATTTCACGTCATTCACACCTGAAACGCATTCCATTTGTTTTGCACACATCGTTTATTTCGAACGATCAGAGATTGGCTTCGAGAATTTCACTGTGTTATACATATATATTATATAAATAATAATATATATATGCATATGTATGTGTATATAACATATCGTTTCAAATATTTCATCAAGAATTTTAGGGTGGATGCATATCGGTCACAAACCCTTTGTGTCGTCGTTGTTTTATTTTTATTTTCTTGTATTTTTTCTCATCATAATTTTTTCCAAATCTTTCAAATAAAAAAAAGATACTTCCACCCTAAATAAATCTTTTATTTCTTTTTTTTTTGTGATAATACATACACCTGGTATTTAATTATCACTCACAATCAGACGAAAGCTTCACGTAAAAATCTACGAGCAATTTATTTATTTATTTCTTTTTTTTTTTTTTTTTTAATATTATTTCCATCAACGAAAGCTTCCGACTGTGTATAATTTGTGTGTTTGTGTGTTGTGTGTCAACTTCCATCGCTAATAACAATCTATTTATTTGTCAGATTCATTCATCCATTCATCCATTCATCAAATTCGATCACAACTGTAAAACATTCCCCGAACAATCGCGTTGCATCATCAAAGCATCATAATATTATAATAATAGTAATAATAATAATTATAATAATAATTTCGCATCATACTCCTAACATGATCGATGAAGTATCATCTTTATTTTTTTTTATTTTTATTTTTTTTGATAATGCTTTTATTTTTTATTGGCGAATGATAAATAATCATCTCGTAGAAAGCAGCGGCGAATAATTTCGTTGCTTAGCTAAAAAGTTCGATCGTTTGTTTTTAATTAATTAATTAATTAATTGATTAATTAATTAGGTATATTTTATCGTCTGTCTGTCTGTCTGTCTGTCTGTCGGTTTGTGTCGGTCAACGCGCAAAAGCACTGGGTTTCATTCTTTTCTCGCGATTATTATTTATTTTATTTCTATCGATTCTTTTTTTTTTTTTTTTGTATTTTTTTTCTTCTTCATTTTGTTTTCAAAATGCGAAAAAGAAAACAAAAAAGTAATAAATGACAACACCTACTCGATATAATTCACACCGAGTCGAGAATAATTATTTTATAATACGTTATTTTACGATTATTTTCTTTTTTTTGTTTTTGTTTTATATTTTTTTTTTTATTTTTATAATTTTTTTTTGTCTTACGTACTTTTATATTTTATTTTACGAACGATCGATCAACGTGTATTATCATCTTTTTGTTTTGTGATTTTTTTTTTCCTTCTCTTTTTCTTTCATCACCATCACCACTACCAACTCCTCCACCTCCTCCTCCTTCTCCTCCTCCTCCTCCTTCATTACCATCACCATCTTTTTTTGTTCTCTTTAACAACCGTTTAAAACATGTAATAACAGCACGTCCATTTTGAGGTACGTTAGAAAACTAGTACAAAACTAGCAGCTAGGTACAAAAATGTAATTAATCGTTAATAATGGAGGCCGCCCGGGAAACTGCCAGGGACCAGCTTCTTCTTCCTTTTTTTTTTCTCTTTTTTTCCTCCCCTCTACATCCTCAACCACCACCATTCTCATTCCTGTCACCCTCTCTCTACCAATCCTCACTGTTCTTCTTTTTTTTTTTATCCATCTAGTTAATCATTTGCTTCGTACGCTAGGGGAATGGTTGTTGCAACCCTTACGGCCCTCCTCATCTTTCCGTACTCCTGCAAAACTCTTCTTTTACTCCTCTCCCCTACCACCACCACCACCGACCATCACCACCATGAGCCTGTTTTCTTTTTTTACAATGTTTTTCATTTTCTCATGCACAGCAGCCATGTTTTTGTTTTTTTATTTCGTTTTTTTTTTCTGTCACGTAATTTTGTTCTCTTTCATTTCATTATTTCATTCGAGGAATCTCGTTTATCGCTGACGGATAATTATAATAATAATAATAATAATAAAAATAATAATACTGGTTATTATTTTTATTTTTATATTTTTATTTGGCGAATTTACGAGTGCAAAATGAGAGAGTCACGATTAAAATTATTGATAAGAATTGAAACATCCAGATTTTATTTTTATATTTTTTTTTTTTAGTTTATTTTAGTTTATTTTTTGTTAATACTTTGCACTATATGTGTGTGTTGAGCGTGACTCGACATAGGATTTTTTTTATTTCATAAAATACTTTGTCGAGTAACATTCGACGTTTATTATTTTTGTAACAGTGCATTGAATTGCATAAAAATTGCATAAAAATTGCATAATTTTTTCTGATCCAAGTAAATTTTTATATGATAAAATATTCGAACAATAGTTATATAATGTTTTTAAAATATTAATCTTTTTGTTTTATTTATGGAAAAAAGAATATTTATTTAGTATGTTTGACTTTTATTATTCTTGTCACAGTGCATTGAATTGCATAAAAATTGCATAATTTGTTCTGATCTAAGTAAATTTTTTATAATAAAATATTCGAACAATAGTTATACATTTTTTCTTAAACAATAATTTTTATGTTTTATTTATTTTAAAAGAAATATCTAATTAGAATGTTTCACTGTTTTGATTTTTAATAAATGTGACTATTTTGAATCATTTTGCACTCGTGAAGATTATTTGATTATAAGTTTTGCAAACTTACGATAAAATGAATTAAGAAAATAATCAATAGAACGCAGAATCTTATGTAAATTATAATAATAATAATAATAATTATTATTAATAATTTCATATGTTGATAATTTTAAAATGTTTGACAAGCAGCGAGTAAGCGTTTTGCGATTGAACGTTCTTTTGCTTTTACACAATACTCGTCTTATCATATCTAACTTGTTATTATCGATGGTGTTTATTTATTTTTTTTTTTTTTTACTAAAAAATACTCAATTTTTCTTTTTTTTCTTTTTTCCCTCTCTCACTTGATCGAATTTATTTTTCATTCATCTAAATGAATGTTCTCAATCTTTTGTCTATGATTTTGTAAAATAAAGAATTTTCTTTGATTATTTTTGTATTTATGTATGTGTGTGTGTTGTGTGTGTGTACGTTAGTATTGTATTTTATATATCTGTGTTGATAAATACACAAACGCGATTTCGTAAATAAAATAATTTATTTTTTTATTATAGTTTTGTTTTTCTTCGAATTCTTCTTCGATATTTTTTCAGATGCACTTTTAAAATGCATTTGCCATAATTTTCATTTATTTATATCTTTGGATAATTAATCCTTAGAGTGCTATGGACGCATATACGTGTTTGTTAATATTAATGTAAAATAATGTCATGTTTATATTAATTAATTAAATTATATTTATAAAGAAAAACTTTAATTATTATAATTTAGTTAATAATAAATTATTCCGTTCCTATAAAACATTTTAGTTAAAAGTATTCAGCACTCAATGGGTTAAAGAAAGAATGAATGAATAAAAAAAAAGAAGAAAAATTTGAAAATAATTAAACATTCATTTACGAACACGTTTGTGTACAATCTAGTCGTTTTTCTAGGCACCTTAACCCTTTAATTGATTAATTTTACATTTATCAAAAATTTCAATGATATGTCCCGAACGGGTAAACATTTTTTTGATTGCTCGTTTCTACAAATTTTTTAGCGTATAATCTAACAAGTTATTCTACATAACATGTTTTCATGTTTTTACGTTTTTTTGAGGAATTCTAATCCGTGCAAAAACAAAACAAGAATTTATTTAATATCGGAAAAGAAAGAAGAAAAAGATTGAAGTCTCAAATTTATCATCGTTTACCTTTTTCTTTTTAAAGGGTTAATGTTTGTTATTTAATCTTCATTTTTTTATTATTATTCTTTTTTTTCTTCTTCTTCT